GCGTGCGCACGTAGCTCCTCCGCCACGGCCGCGCTCTCTGCACCGTCCGCCGAGGGGGTTGCGACACCGCACAACACGGCGCCCAGCGACGGCGCACAGCCGGCACGCTGCGGCCTCCGTCCGGTCCGGCCGAGAGTGACTGCGCCACCGCATCCTTGCGCCGGGCGTCGGTCCTGCTGCGATCGATTCGCTGGTGCTGGTGCGCCTCACTCTGTGGACACGCGCAGCGCTGGAGGAATCGCGCGCTGACGCGTCGGATGCTTGGGCGTCGTCGCACACCTACGTACGCGCCAGGTGGTACGTCACCGGCGTCCAGCCACCCGAGAACACGCCTCGCACGGGCTCGGTGCTGTGCCGCTGCGGCGTCCATTGGGCGGCCAGACGGAGGGCGCGTCGCGGCGAAGGAGACCGCCGGCCGCGATACGGCCCTACGACGACCCCCGAAGAGCGCTGCGTCCAGTCTGCGTTCCTGTTCGTCGACGGGCGCCCCTGTGAGGCCGCGTGGCTGACTGTGGGCGGGCGGCGTCGTCGCACGTGGACCCGCAGGCGACGACCACATCACCCCCGTTGCGACCGACGCAAGTCGTCCGTCTCGCCCGAGTCCGCCCCAGCGTGTCGCGCCCCTCCCTGCACGCCGGCGAGAGCGAAGCTCGTGCTGAGCTGCGTGCCCGTGCCCCTGCGCGGCGGGGTCCCTGCCCGCCGCCGCGAGCCGCGTATCGCGGTCTCCGCTCACGCGACATGCCGGCGCCGCCCGCTCAGCACCCAGCCAACGCGTGCTGCCGCGACGAAGCGCCCCCCCCGACCAGCCAGCAACCACTTTGCCCAGGGCCCTCCACGCGTCGCACCTGCCGTGATGGGTGGCTGTTCTGCGGTTCCCGGGAATGTATTGGTAGCTCCACACGCCCCCGGCCCGCCCCTGTGCGCCTGCGTCCCCGCACAGCGCCCCACCGGACGCCAGGACCTGCCAGCAGTTGCCCGCGCGGCCCGTGCCGGTTGCGCCCCGCAGCCAGATCTCGCATGTCTGGTGGCGCGTTTTTGGGCTCAACGTGCCCGCCGTGCCGCGCGCCCGCCGTTCCGCAGCGCCCGCGCGCGTGCCGCCCGTCCCCTCCTCGGCGGTCATTGCGTGCAGCGCGTCGCAGAGCTGGCCGTGGCGCGCCGGCGGTCGTGGCGATCTGCGGCGGGCCTGCCGCGTCCCGGGGCGACGTGCTGGAGGTCCCCGCCGCGCCGCAGGGGGGCGTCGCCGGGCGATGCGCGGTGGTGTCGGGAGGCTGACAGCGGTACTGGTTTGGTTGCGTCACGCATGCGCGGGGCGCTGATTCGCGGGCTTGGGGCGATGCAAACGCACGAGCACGAGCGGCGCGCGCGGGGGACGTGCGCGGGCGCGGCAAAAGGCGCGGTCTTGGAGGTGGAACAGGTTGAGGTGAGGTGAGGTGTCACATTCTTCGCGTTGTAACATGTCAAAACTCTTCGTCGCGTCGGCCTGCGGGCTCACGTGACCTCCCCGGGACCTTGAGCGGTCCCGCCACGACTCCAGGATTCTCGCTCGCGACGTCGCGGCGGAACCTCGAGGAGAGGCGGAAGACTTCTCACAGGTCGCGGACGTCGGGCACATGGCCGACATCAGCTAGCTGACCGCCGCGGGGCACCCGGTCGTTTCCGGCCACGAGAGCGCCCCGCAACACGGTGAGCGGACATGCGGCGTCACCGGGGCTGTTGAAGGGCGTCGTGCTCTCGGTAGGGCCGCGGGGGGGGGGCGGACCCAAGCCTCTCAGTTTGAGCTGCGGTGGTGCCAGGTCCTCTCTGCGCGCTACGTGCGTCGCGCTGCCAGGTGTGGCAGCGCAACGCAGGGAGAGGGCGCCGGAGGCCATGTTTCTGTTGCGCGGCAACTTTTCAGCCGCCCCGTGGCCCACTGCTTCCTGGGATGGGCGGCCTGGGCGTCGTCCCGCGGCCAAAGTCGACGCGAGCTCCAGGTCCGCCGAGGAGACGACGAGCTGAGTGCTCAGATTCGAAGGCGCAATCCTGGAGCCGCCGTGGCGGGCGCAAGGAGCGTCCAGGAGCAAGGAGAGCTCCATCTTTCTCCCGGTGCGCCGACAGATCCTCTTGTCAGTAGCGCCAGTGCCCCCTCCTATCAGTGGAGGACTGCGAGACTCCCTGGCGCGCGCTTTGATCCGCGAAGCAAGCTCGCGTCGTCACGCCCAAGTGCATGCTGTTGGAACGCCCTCCTCCGCACCCCGTGCGCCAAGCTCCGCTCCCGGCGACCGAGCGTGAGGAATCCGTGCTCGCTAGAAACTGAGATTTGCGGCAGGACTGAAGCTTTCCGATACCCTCCGGTACGCAGGTGCCCCCCTCCCCAATGGCAGAGGTGGCTGGTGGTGCCGGCCGCCCCGCCGCGGTCAGGCCGAGGCGTACTTGATGCAGTGCATGAAGGATCGTCCTGGTCCTCCGGGACAACGTGCAGGCGATCCTGCTGCCGGACGTCGCGGGCACGGCGGCCTGTCAGGCAACCAGGTCTCGGACCAGGCTGGCAGGTGCGCTCGGAACCACGCAGCCGGTCGCGCCAACGCCCCTCTCGCTGCCAATTGCCTGTACTACCGCATCGCCCCGGCGCAAGCGCCTCCTCTCTCGACGTGTTCGCGCCTCTCCTGCCCCAGCATCTTCCGCCATGTTCTCATCGCCCCACACCGTCCTGGTCCGTGCGCAGGTGGCGCGCCCCTTGCTGTCCGCGGCCACGTGTTGACCCGCGGCGCTTCTTGCGCGAGCCTCCCGCCGCGTCGCAGATTGCCATGTGGTTGGGGGGGCACGTGCTCTCTACAGCGCTGCTGCCTGCAACGCGTGAGCCGCGCCTCGCGCTGCCGTCGTGCACCGGCGATGCGCGGTGAGGCAGGTCCGCGACGATCGAGCGGCGCCGGCGCCGCACACATGTGGAGCCGTGGCGTGAGGGCTCGCGAGGCCGGCGACGGCATGGCGATGACGACGGCCGCGGTGTCGGAGCGGCAGGGCGGCCTTTGCGGGGGTGCGCTGGTCGTGGACCCCGCGGTGCTGGACGGCCGCCTGCAGGTCGACGCCGTCGACGCCGCGGTCATGCGCGCGTGCCGGCTGCGTTCGGCGCCGTGCGCGGCCGCGACAGCGAGCAGGCGCTCGTGGGCGGGGGGTCGCACGCGGTGGCGCGTGCGATTGGCGCAGCGCGAGATGCCGGGCGTGGCGGCGCGGTGCGTGGTGAGGCCAATCGAGGGGCGCAGGAGCACGGGCGAGGTGCTGATGGGTGGGGACAGCGGTGACGAGGGGGCGCGGACGGGTACGGCGCGACGGCTGCGTTGCTCTGGCGCGACTGGTGCGGTCGGCTGCGGTGGCGGCGGCGGGCGCGGTGTCGCTGGTGCCGCGTGCGCGCGGGCCGCTGGACGCGCTTGTTGCTGTGCCGGCGGGCGACGGGCCGCTTGGCGCGGGCGAGGTGGAGGCGGACGTGCGGGCGGTGGGCATCAACTTCCGCGACGTGCGGAACGTGCCCGGGCGACCCGGGGGGCGACATGTTGTGGTTGTGGGGGCTGGAGGGGCGCGGGTGTTTGGGCTGGCGGTGGGGTCGCCGGAGACGCGGGTGCGTGCGGACGCGCCGTGCGTGGCGGCGGTGCTTGGGGCGGTGACGCTGGAGGAGGCGGCGAGCTGTCCGACGGCGCTGGTGACGACAGAGGTGGCGCTGGAGCGGGCGGGGGGCGCGAGGAGCGGGGAGGTGGTGCTGGTGCACGCGGCGGCGGGCGGCGTGGGCGTGGCGGCGCGCGAGGTGCTGGTGGGGACGGCGGGGAGCGCAAGCAAGCGGTGGGCTGTGCGCGGGGGCGGTGCGGCGGTGGTGGGGTCGCGGGACGTCGGGATCGCGGAGGCGATGGCGGTGTGCGCGGCGGCGGCGGCGGGCGCGGGCGGGGTGGACGTGGTGCTGACGAGCTCGACAACAGCAGGGTTGGTGGCGGGGAGCGTGGCGGGGAGCGTGGCGGGGGCGGGTGATCGAGATCGGGAAGCGCGTGACGCGTGGAGCGCGGAGCACGTGGCGCAGGAGCGGGCGGACGTGCGGTACGGGCTTGACTCGATGGACTTTTGCCGGGGGAGGTGGTGCGCTGGCGCGGGTCTCGCGGGCGCTGGGGACGGGGGCGGTGGTGCGGGCGCGGCACGGGATGGGGGCGGCGGCGCTGCGGCAGATGTCGGCGCAGCGGGCGGTGGGGAGGTGGTGGTATGCCGGGCGGGTGTGGGGAGGGGCGTGGGCGCGGGGGCGTGGCGGTGACGGGCAGGACGGGGTACGTGGAGGACCGCGCGGCGCGCGAGGCGGGCTCCGCGGCGCAGGCGCGGGCGGAGGCGGAGAGGCTGACGGCGGATGGGTCGGCGCCGCGTGCGCACGTCGCGGCATCGAGGGGCGGCTGTCTGCGGCGGACGCGGAAGCAGCGAAGGGATCCGAGCGCGTGCGTGAGCTGGAGCGGCGCGCGCAGGACGCGGAGAGCGCCCTGGAGCGGTCCCAGGCGGACCTTTGGGTGGCACGCTTCGCGGGCACCCCCGCGGGCGAGGGCGCGCAGCGGGTGTCGCGGCTGGCAATGGACGAGGTCCGGACGCTCCAGGCGGAGCTCGAGAAGGCGCGCGTGGACCTCAACAACCCGGAGGACCGCCGCGAGCAAGCTCGACGACGACGCCGGCACAGTGCTGGTGGGTGTGCGCGCGGGCGCGGGCGGCCGAGGCCCGCGCGGGCGAGCTCGAGGCGGCGCGCGCGGAGGTTGCGGCGCTCACGGCGCGCGTCGAGGCGCTCGCGGCGACCGAGGCGGAGCGCGAGACGCCGCCCGCGCGCAACCTGCGGACGCGCTCGCTGCCCGCGAGGGTGTGATGTCGGGGCTCGCGGACACGCGGGCGGCGCGCGATGACGCGGCACGTGACGCCGCGGAGGCGGTCGCGGGGCGCCGCCCGGCGGAGGCGCGGGCCCGGGAGGCGGAGGCACGCCACCGGCGTGCCAGCTCGGGCACCTGGCGGTGATGGACGAGCAGTGCGTGCAGCTGGCGGAGCGCGAGAACGCGGCACGGGCGGGCGCGGAGGCGGCGACGGAGCAGGCGCGGGCGGACCTGGAGGCGCGCGTCGCGACTCTGCAGGCGCAGGCGGATGGGCTTGCCGGGTCGCTCGGGGCGGCGCGGAGGGAGCGCAGGGAGCTCGCCGCGCGGCTGTGGCGCACGGAGCAGGAGCTCGAGGTGCGGGGCGCGCGTGCGGGGTCGTGATGCGCGCGAGCGCGGCTCGCCGGTGTTTGCATGGAACGGAAGTCCTTGTTCGCTGATTGTTGGGGTTTTTCCCGTGCGCGTCTGCAGGAGTCGAAGGCGAAGGTCGCGGACCAGACGGAGGCGCGCCGCACGGGCTCGCGGAAGGGCGAGGGCGCGAAGCGTGTCGTGCCGATGGCACGCGAGTGCGTGCGCAACGTTAACGCGATGGTGGAGCTGGAGGCGGTGCGGCGCACAGCGTCGAGCGCCCTCGAGGAGCAGCTCGAGGACACCCAGGCACGCAGCACCCCACACGTCACGCACGCGTGCTCGAGACATATGCGGAACACGTATCCATGGGGCGCGACCGTCGTCGTTTGTCTGCGTTCGACAGCCGGTGCCGCGAGCCGCCCTCGATGAACGCGGCGGTCCCGGTCCCTGGCCTACGCAGAAGGAGCTTGAGCACGCCGAGGAGCGCCTCGACGGCGTCGTGGACGGAGCGGCCCGCGATTGCTGCCGACACTCTCGCGTCGTCGCAGGCCGCGGACCTCGTGGACCTCGCAGACGGCGCCGCGGCGCTCGACGTTGCTTGCGCCGAGCTCGCCGCGGCCCGCGCGGCCCAGTCCGGCCTCGACGCCCACGTGGCGGAGCTAGAGGCGGAGCGCAACTTGCCGCAAGGCGCACACGCTCGAGTCGCGGCTGGCCGGGGAGGCGCGCACGGCAGGCGTTGCTCGAGGAGCGCGACATCGAGGAGCTCCGCGCGCGGTGCGAGCGCGAGGAGCGCGGCCGCTTCGAGCACGCGGGCTGCGCTGCGCAGCTGACGCGTGGAGGAGCTCGAGGAGGCGTGTAGGAAGCCGGATGCGGAGCACAGGCGCTGCGAGGACCTGCAGCGGGACCTGCAGACTGCGCACGAGGAGGCGTTCGAGCACCAGAAGGTGAGGCTTTTGCTTGCTGGAGCAATGGTTGGCATCGTGTTGTTGTTGGCACGGCCGGGGTTCTGGGTCGTACAGCAGCGAAGAACTGCTCGTTCTCCGCGACGGCTGCGATGCGCGGAATGCGCAATTGTGCTCTTGCGTGGCTTCTAACACGAGCGACTCGTACGAATCCTCTGAAAAGGTTTACATTGAGACTCAAAGTCTCTCGGCACTGGTTTGTTTGTGCATTGCATCGATGCGTCCACGCGCGCGCTCAGTTCCCGCACCGCCTCGTCGCCTCCGTCGCAGGAAGTCAAGCCGCCACCGCGAGCGCTGGCAGCTCGCGCACGCACACCAACCCGGGGCCCGTCAAGGCGCGCGAGCTCCAACCCCGCCCGCCGCCGCGCGTCGCCGCAGGTCGTCGATGGGCGCTTGGGTCTGCTGGTCGACTGCGCGCCGCGCGCGGCACTCCGCTGCCAGCTCATTCGGGGGGCCTCTCTCCCAGGGACGGTCCTTTCCCGCGCCGGGGCTCGAGGCGGTCGTGCAAGGGCGCAGCGCCACCACTTCTGCACGAGGAGGGCCCGCGCTCACCGTCCCGCGGAGGCAATCGCTCGGGTGAGGTGAGTCGCGCCCCTGCTTGCGACCCTACTATCCGCCCACTCAGGCCTGCCCGAGGCCTGCCCGCGCCCTTCCCGGTCCCTCGTCCGCACCCTTCATATTATCCTGACCCAATCGGTGCCGCAGGCGCCGCCCGCGCGCCGCCGCGTCCGCGCCTCGGGGACGTACAACGTGCGTGCACAGGCGGCCCGGATCCCCTCGCCGGGCGCCCCCCCCCCCCGGGCGTTCGAGGCACGTCCCCGCGATGCCTCATGCTCCCGCCGGTCCCGTCGCGCGACGCAGGCGAACGAAGGCGCAACGAGGGTCACATAGCCCTGTGCTGCAGACACACAGCCCCAACCAGGTGAGCCGCGCCTCCCGGCGGCGCTGATGCCCGCTACGTGGGCACCGGCGAGGTGATTTGTGCTTAGCGGCGGTCGTCGGCGGCTGTGCGTGCGTCGGCGGGCCCCGCCGACCAGCCATGACTGCCCCCGACCACCGAGCTGAATCGCCTGCGCAGCCCTCGCCACACCGCGCGATTCGCTCACACAGACGTTGATTGTCGTCTCCTCGTAGCTTTTCCGCCGTAACTGCGGGCAGACAGCGACGCGAGAAGGGCATCAGCGCCGCCAGGCTCGACCGTGCACCACACGCCACAAGCGCACGTCTGGCCGCCATCTGCCGCCGCCTGGCGAGGTCTCGCCGCGCGCAGGACCCGCCATGAACAGCCCTCCCCGACGACCTACCGCCGCGTGGCGCGCTGTACGCTCCCTTGCCGACGCAGGTCCCCGTGAGTGCGCAAGGCCCCGGTCGAATCGCCGGCCATGGAGGTCGAGCAAGGCGCCGGCGCAGCCCCACAGTGAGCTCCCTCGACGCACATTGCACGACGTGCCCCTCACACGGGCGTCCGCCCGCCGCAGTGACTGTCTGGGTTCAGGACAGTCTCCGGGCGCCCATTTTTTGAACTCCTCGCCCCCCAATCTGCATCTCGTCATGATCGCGGCGGAGAGGGCCGCGCTGAACGCGCTCACGACGTCGACCCCGTCGCGACCGTGCCCGTCGCCCCCGTTCGCGCACCCGACACTCTGCGTCGCGGCCTCTCTACGTGTACCCCTCACGGCCGCCACTCGCCGCCGCCGCCCGCGCAGGGGGGAGGGTGAAGGCGAATCCTACTCGTTCAACGCGCAGGAAGTGCGCGCTCTGATGGAATACGTCGACCAGTACGGTCCCGGGGTGCGCGCCCGCTGCTCTCCTGTTTCGCTGGGCATGGCCTGGACGCAGCGCAGTCCTGCCTCGGACAGACAGATAGACATTCAACGGCCGGGCGGGGTGCTCGGCGCCAACCTCCCGACCATCCGCACCGTTTCCCGTCGCGTGGCGCGCAGAAATGGGACAGTATTTCGCGCAAGGTGTTCAACGGCGCGGAGGCGGGGAGCGCGGTGCGCAGCACGTACCTGCGCTTGCTGGCCCCGGCTGAGCGAGACAGCGTGGCGGCCCGCACCCAAGGCGCCCTCGGCATCAAGGCCTTCACGAAGGAAGCGGACAACTTGCTCGCCGAGCTCGTCTTCGCGAAGACGTCTTCGATCGAAGACGCCGGGTCTGAGGAACGGCGCGACGGCCAGCAGCTCTCGATGGAGGAGTTGACGAAGATGACGGCGGCGCTGAACGAGGCGCTGGAGACTACCAGTGGTCTTGCAGGCACCTACACGGTGGGGGACGTGGCGAAGAGGATCATGGGGTACTTGGACTTCGTCTATTGCATCTATCGCCGGCCCTACATCAGGTGGTCCGAGATGGAGACCGTGGCCGCCGAATTCGCATGCGGCAATGGTGCACCTTCTTGCCCGGGGGGTCCTCAAGTCCGCATGCGTACTCGGGGGCCACGGTCTCCATCTCGGACCACCTGATGTACGGCCGGCGATCGATGCAATAGACGAAGTCCAAGTAACCCACGATCGTGTCGCACGTGCGACACGACACCCCCTCCACGAATTCTCCCAGGCGCGGCGTGCTCGCGGCGCAGCGACATGCGACGCCCGCGCGGGCGTGTCCTCGTCCGACCGCTTCCACCGCATCCTCGCGCTTGCAGCTCGGGGACGAAGCCCCGTGAAGGCGTTTGCCACGAAGTTCGGGCTCGGGGACGTCGAGCACTTCGACGCGTAGGCGTCTCGCGCGGGGGCTGGGTCCTTGTGTCCCTGGAGGTGTGAGCTCTGATGCATCGGGTACCTGACGTCAGCGGGCCAACGATGAAAACAACAACGCTCAAGTCCCGAGGGCTTCAACCCCCCCCCCCTCCGGTTCATCGCGCCTCCCCAGGACGCCGCTGGTTGCTTCGCAGCGCCACTGCATAGCAGCGCCCCGCTGCTCGGCACCGCGTGCGACGCCCACACTCGCGAGCGTTGCAGAGAGCAGCTTGAAACCAAGGAAGCGGCTCTGTGCAGGCTCACAGAGCCGTGCCGGAGCCCCCTCGACCCGCGCACGCGCGCTGCTCGTTGCGGCTACTCTGCGATCTGCGCCACCGACCCGCATCGACGTCCGGCGCATGTGCCTGGCCATTGACGTCGATGAGCTGCAGCTTGATCTGCCCGACATGCACTGCCGGTGGCGCCGAGGGGCATCACGATCGCGGGCCGCAATCGTGATGGTGAGCCGGAGCGCTCGCTCGACGGCTCGGCCACGGCGATCGCTGCCGAGCGACTGGCGGACATGGCAAGCTTGTGTGGTGGTGTGACCCGCTTCCCAGCCCCTTCCAACTGCCCGAGATGTTCACCGAGAAAACCACGGGCGACTGCAGCCGCTCCGCTCGCGGGATCGCTTCCTCGGGTCGGCTCCGCGCGGGCAGGGTTTGGCGTCAGCAGCGCGGGATCACACGGCTCCGCGGGGTGCCATCAGTCACCGGGCGCGCCTCGAGATCGTCCAAGAGCAGCACGTGTACACGTGCGCAACGAAATGTCGTTGCGGGCGGCTCCGCTCACCCGCTGGAGTCGTCAGACGGCGCTGGGCTGGAGCCACGTGGTGCACCTGCCTCGGCGTCGACCGAGCCTCGCGGCGACTGCACGTCAGCGCCTCACCTCTCAGGTGCGTCGGAGCAGCGAGGAGCGGCCGTGTGCTGCCGAGATGGGCGTGCCAGCAGGCGCGGAAATGCATCCGAGGGGAGGTGAGGTGTCACATTGTACACATTCTGTGACGGTGAGTCGTCACAGGCGGAGGCCGCGCGGCCGTCGCATGCGAGTCTCACGGTCCTCTCGAGCAGGCGCATGAACAACGCGAGGCTCTGCCGCCGAGGGCCGCGACGGGCGCGTCGGTGCCTGCGTGCCGTGCGCGTGTCGTGGGCGGTCCGAGGTCCGCGACGGCGTGCTCGAGCCCGCCGGGCTGGCATACGACGTCGCCCGGTTGCAGCGCCGGGTCCCGCGCCTCCTGTACAGCCGCGCCAGTCCCGCCGATGGGCCGAATGCAGGGGGGGGGGGTGTGCAGGAGTCCTCTCGCGCCACAGCCCCCCCGGGCGGCCACAGGGCGGAAGGGGGGATCCGTGCGTTCCGCCCGCCCACTCTGGTGCACGACGCGATCGACACCATGACAAAGCGGCCCCGTGTAGGTGGCTCGGAGCGCCATGCGCAGCATGTGTTCACTGTGCGACGCGGTGCGTGCTCGCCCGCGACGCGCCCCCGCGCTGGACATGCCCGGATTGCGCTGGTCTGTTAGTGAGGCATCCATCCGCGTCCGTTCGCCTCAACTTCGAGCCCCCCCTGGCGGCCCTGTCGCGTTCACCTTGTGGCGGGGCCGGAGGGCGTGGCAGTCATCGCGCCGCTGGCCCGGTCATTCTGCCTGATGGACATCGCGCGGGATCGAGACGGATCTCGAGGCTGCGTGCAGGCGCGACGCGGCCCACCCGCCCACCCCCCGAGGAGCGCTGAGGAGGGCCCAGGCAAGGCCCAGGCAGCATGCGTCCTGGACCGGTCGCGGGCGGCGGAAACTGGCCCTGGCGTGCGTGTCCGGCCATGTGACGGCCTCTCGAGCCCCTAGCGTCACGTTGTCAACGTCTCGTCCCCTGCCGCGGCGTGGGCGGTTCCAAAGCTCCTGCTGGCGAGGGAACGCGCCAACAGGGACGTGTGCCTGCGGCGATCCGCACCCGTCCTCGCTCACAAGCGGCAGTCACGGCCGGCGTCATCGGGCGCGGCGGCCCGTTGGGCACGATCGGTGCACACTGGCGCGCGGGGGGCAGGGAGCCCGCCATGGCGTGCGCGGGCCGACCCGGTGTCGCTCCAGTCCACCTCGGGCCTCCGACGGGCGCATCCTGCTTCCGGCTCGACTCAGCGGGTGCACATGGTGCGCCCGACACCCGCTCCTCCGCTCGACCGTCGCGCAGCGGGCGGTGGGGGAGGTGGTGGTATGCCGGGCGGAGTGTGGGGAGGGGCGCGGGCGCGGGGGCGTGGCGGTGACGGGCAGGACGGGGTACGTGGGGTCGGTGGTGGCGGGGTTGGCGGTGGCGTCGGGGCGCGGCGGGGAGGTGGCGCTGCTGGGGCGCACAGGGCGGCGCAGGGGCGGTGTGGTGGGGCTGGGGCTGGGGCGCGGTGTGGTGGGGCTGGGGCGCGGTGGTGCGCGGTGGTGCGCGGTGGTGCGCGGTGGTGCGCGTGGTGCGGCGCGAGGCTGCGTGGGCGGCGGCGTTGGGTGCGGCGGTGAACCTGGACGGGTGGTCGTCGCCACTGACGGGACGGGAACGGGCTGGGCGACCGATCAAGGCGGGTGCGGTGGACGCGGTGTGCGTGTGCGGCGGGGCGCGGGGTGACGGAGACGTGGGCGCACTGGCGGCTGCTCTAGTGGACCGGGTGACCGCCCGACGTCATGCGGAGCTTCAGGCGCTGGTCGGGCACGGCGCGGATCGCGTACACGGAGCACGTCGAGAACGACCAGCTGCGCGTTGATATCAAGCCGGGAGAGCACGACGCGGGGGTGTTGCAGCATTCTCTGTGTCTGAGATGTTCTCCCGGCGGGAAGGGGGGAAGATCCGAGCCCGTGGCCCCACGCGCGTGCTGATGTGACCCCCGCGCACCGTGCTGTGCGAATGAGACGAATGAGGAGTTGCGCACGCCCCGGGGGTGCCACATCACTGGCAGAAATTTGTTCTGTCTGACCCGTGCCGGTGACCATGCGCCGCGGAGTCTAAGCGCCGCGCAACTGGCCCGCAGAGCAACATCCCCGCCGCCGAGGTCGAATAGTCGGCGATGCAGGTGCCGAAGACTCCCGCTGCGGCCCCAGGGTGAGCTCCCTCGAGACACTTTGCTCGACCAGCCCCTCACGCAGGCCCCCGACTGCCGGCGCACGACGCGCACGCACGGTGTGGATGTATCTCGGACTTTGCCGCGTGCATAGACTGCCGGAGTACAGCGCACTTGCCGGGCTCGAACTTTTCGACTGCGTGGCCCGATCTCGCTTCATGCGCACTCGTCTCGCGCCGAGTGTGTCGAGAACGGCCGCGCAGAAAAAGCTCAGACGCCGATCTTGCAACGCCCGTGTCCGTCGCCCCGTTTGCGCGCCCGAATCGTCGTGTTCGCCTCCTCTTGCTCACAGCCGCCATTCGCCGATTGCCGCCGCCGATGCAGGGGGGGGCCTGCAACGGGCCGCTGGACATTCAACGATGAACAAACAGCGGCTTTGATGAGATACGTCATGCTACACGGCCCCGGGGTGCGCGCCCGCTGACTTGCTTGCTCTCTGTGCTGTCTCGCGTCGCCAGGTGTCGCCGCGTACCTGACGATTCGAACCGTTTTCCGCTGCCTGGCGCGCAGAGATGGGACTTTTTCGCACGGACTTACTTTCCTAGTAAGGCGCCTGGCGCTGTGCGCGCGGCTTACTTGAGAGCGATGAAACCCGTGCGCTCTCTGGGAAGCAAGGCCGCCGAGAAGAAGAGCGCGATGGGCGTCACGGTCTTCACGGAGGCCAGCGACGCAGTGCTGGCGGAGCTTGCGGTGGCGAGCGCCAAAGCCGCCAGGGATGGGGCAGAATTGGACGAACAGTGCATTCAGGCCATCACGAAGGAGCTGAACCGCCTGCAGAACACGACGTACACGGAGGAGCAGGTCGCAGTCCGCCTCTTCGGCTTCGTCGACTTCACCACGCAGATATGGCGCCGGCCGGTGATTGGTTGGTCGACGGCCGAGTTGGATGCGGCGATCTTCGTGTTTGATGCGAAGGACGACGATGGCGAGGAGGTGCGACACTGCCCGCGCTCCAGGTACCGCTCGAGCGACACTCTCGTGCCCGCCACCAACCGTCCGCGACCACCGTTCTCTGTCATGCGCAGCGCTTCAAGACCCCGGAGGCTCGTCTGGAAGCCTTCGACGCGCGAATGAAGTTTCTGCGCGAGCAGGACTTCGCGCAATTCCCGGAGTCGATCGTGGGCAACGCGTATCAGCCGCTGGCCGAAGTGCAACGGACGGCGAAAGCGCTGCAGGCGAAGTACTACAAGGTCATGGCGGAACGCAGGGGGGGACCGGCCACCATCCGGTGGACGCCGGAGTTGGACGATCTGCTGATCACGACCTACTCCAAAGACGTGAGTTCCCGATCCGACGCGACTGACGGGCACGTTCGAGCTGCACAGCTGCAACGCGAACTGAACTGAACGTTGCCCGCAACCCCCTCCCAGCACCGCCCAGGTTCGCCGACAACGCGCTCCACTCCACTCCGGTCGCTTCATCCGCACCAACTGCAGGGTACCCACAAGCAGAAAGCGGCCGAGTTCCGACAGGAGTCGGGACTCACCCTGCGGCAGACGGAGGACCAGCTTGCCCACCTCCTGGTCGGCAGGCTCGACAAGCTGGCCGCGTTCAACTACCCGCCGTACACGGCCGCAGTGGCGTCGCAGCAGCTGGTGCGTTGTCAAAAAACAGGATGGGCTGGCATGGAGCAGGAGCTCCTTGTCATCGCGCAACGGGACTTCGGTTGGGACGACACGGTTAAACCGAGGAGCCGCAAGAACGACGGCAAGCTGCCGCTGGTAGCCAGGCGCCTGCGGCAACTGAAGGAGGCGGCGGGCGCCGAGGCCAACGACCACGTAGACAGGGGCTTCGACGCCATCAAGATTTACGTGTCGAGGAACAAGGTCAAGCTGCGCGAGCTTCGGGAGCGCATGGCCGCGGAGGGGAAGTTCGAGGTGCTCGGCGCCCCTGCGGGGTCCTCGGAGCCCGAGGAGTCCGCGGGCACGAAGCCCGAGGAGTACGCGGGCACGAAGCGCCAGCGCAAGGGGTGAGGCAGGTGTCGCAGAAGGGGGGGTTTCAACACCCCCCTCCCTCAAATAGATCGAAGCGCGGATGGCAGGGCGGGGTGCAGGTCGTGGCAGGACGGCGACTTGCGTGATGCAGTCGCCGGGGCTGTGAGTACCTGGCGCTATCACCTGCAGCGCCGTCTAGGGGTCCTACGCGGAGGACACCTGGAGGCATCACGACCCACCCTGACTCACTCACCGCGCACTGCTTGCCGCTGAACGATCCGTGCGCCGTCACGACGACGCCTCCCAGGAACGAATGTTTCCCGGCTCACAGGTCCCTAGCTCGTGAGAGGTCGTGAGGACGCGCCGCTTGCAGAGACCGGAACATCGAAGCGTCGTCGACGCGCAGCCGCCGGTCGCGCGACGTTCGCTTCGCCCCGCGTAGAAAAAGGGGAGTATTTGGGGTGGGGGGTACTTGGGGGGGGCATGGCGGGGTTGGGGGGCAGGGGGGGGGCGGTCGTTCTGCGGGCGGTGATGCCCCGCGCGCGCGAACTGGGCGCGGACGCACGGCGGCGCCGTCCGCGCGAGGGGCACGTGTGCGGATGCGCGTGCCACCCAAGCGTCACCCTCCCTGCACTTCCGCCCCTCGACCGCGCCGTGCGCGGCGGGTCCGCGGTCAGGGCGCAAGGGGTGCGTCCCTTGCCGCCAGCCCCGCGCTCGTCGCCGCTGCAGGGTAGCACCGCGGGCTTGGGAAGTGTTTTCTTCACTCAGCACACCCGCGTGTACAGCCCCGGCGTGAAGCACGCTGCGGCCGACCAGAGACGGCATCCCCACCTCCTGGCAGAAGCGGCGTGTGATTGCACGGGTGCACCGGGGCATGCTGGCGTGCAGAGGCCCGCGCGCACGCACCATTGCCACGACCCGCGCACCCCGCCCGCCGCCGTCGACGTGTAGTCGACCGCGGCAGTTCGCGCTCGCGACGGTCGCGCACGCGCTGCGACGCCGCTCCTCAGCGGCGCTTCTCGCCGTTGTCTGCGAGCATGGGGCAGACGGCGCAGACCTCTCGGCGGGGCCTAGGACGTGACGCGGACGCGCGTGCACGCCCGACCCGGACACTTCAGGGCCTGACCTCTGCGACTCCCGCCGAAGCGATCGTGGCGTCGCGGGAGCGCCGACGGCCGTGGCGCGCAGCGGCCGGTGCTGCACTCGCCGTCCGGCGACCAAAGTGCGCTGCCTCGACGAACTTGTGTCGGGTCAGGAGCGACTACTCCTCGAAGTGGATGACGGCGCGGTCTTTGACCCCGGCTGGTCGGCATTGCGTCCAGGGTGGCCGGCACGGTTTCATCATGCCGATTACAGCGCTTCCCGGCCGTATTCGCGGCGATCCCCGGGAACGAGGGTGATCGCCTTGCTATGTGAGCGCATTCGGCGCGCCTGGCTCCGCAAAGAGCACTCAGGAGAGGCGGCGCAGACGTTCAGGGGGGGCACAACTTTTTGCACCCCCACACGGTGCGACTGGCGAGGACGCGCGCTGATTTCACGTCGTCGCGCGTCGTCGCGGCCGCACTGCACTGCTGGTCGAGCGTGGCCGATGAGAGTGGAGAGAGGCCCACCGCAAGTGCTGGGGCGATGGGGAATCAAAGTGGAGGCTAGCACGGCGGGCGCGACGTTTCCGGTGAGGAGCGGAGCCCCCCGCTGTAACGGTGCTCCCCCGCCAAGTGCGACTACTGGCAACCAACTCGTGCTCCGGCTGCGCACGCGGGGGGAACTACGGTCGCAGGCGCAGCTCAGGCGTAGGCGGTGCAGCGCCGCTGCGAGGTGACCGCGTCGAGGGTCACGGAACGGGCTCCATGAGCCCCTTGGCAGGCGTATCGTATATGAGCGTGGTGCGCGACTAGTCTCGGCACCACGCTGGCGCAACCTTCCCATCTGGCGCAGCCTTCCCTCGCAGCGCGGTGAGCCGCTGCCTCTGTCAAGGGGACAGGTGAGGTCCCTCTTCGATGTCTATACACGCGTCTCCGTCTCTCCGCCTCTCCCGGCAACTCTGCGACGCCTGGCCAGTGAGCCGGGGCTGCGTTGCCAAACGCCAGGGACCAACCAACGCCCGCGCCCAAGCGGGCCTCCCAGGGCGCTCTCGGATCGATGTGCTGCTCTTGCTGGATGTTCTGCAGTCGACGCGGGCTGAGGAGGGACGGGAAGCGGAGGGAGTCGGCCAGCGCTATGAGGGCGTGTTGCCAGTGCCACCAGAGCACGCTGCGCGAAATGCTGCCGCTGCCGGCCCTGCCGCGGCCGGACCGGCCCCCCCCGCAGCACCTCGCCCACCGTCTGCGTGAGCTGCTCGGCGCGTTGAGCGCCACAGCAGCGACGATCGCGGCAGGGAACTTGACGAGCACGCCGGCGCACCGCTCGCGCGCCGCCGCGGCCTGCGTCGTGTTCGCGGTCGAGCCCGCCGTGACGCGCCCCGCAGAGGTCGGGAGCGCGGAGACGCCCGCGGCGCCCGCTTCTCGGATCGTCGCGCTGTGTCTCGACCAGGTGGCAGCGCTGACACCGATGGTGCGCGGCGCGGTGCGGGCTGCGACGGAGGCCGCATGCGCCGTCGAGACCGAGATCCTGCGCTCTGTGCTCGCCGCCGAGGGGCCTGCGGGGCGCCCGGCGGACTGACCCGGCTCGGGTGGCGGCCGTCGAGCTGTCGACGTCGCGGGGGTCCCCGCTGGCGGCGCCGCGGCAGGCGCCCTAGCTGCTCTCGGCGGCGCACTACGCCGGGGACGAGATCGACAACGGTGCACATCTGGGCCGACGGGTGCGCTCTCGCGGCGCTCCACGCGCCCACCGGCGACGCCGAGGAGGACCGACAGGTGCGGCCTGACAACACAACCCCTTGCAGCGAGATCGCTGTATCTGCCGCGCGCTTCCCGCGCTCGCGCCTCCGCCTGCGTCCACGGCCCACTCGAAACTCCCCCTCGCCCCCACCCCGTGCAGTCCCTTGGCGTCCAGGAGGCTGACGTGTCATGCTGCTGAGAGGTTGCCGCGCGCCCCGCCGGGACCGTCCGCATCGCCGCGCTGCTCGATTGGAACGCCCGTGGCCGCCAGGCGACGCCGCGGCCGTCGGCGCCAGCCTTGCTGTTCTCCAGCGCTCCTGCGCTACGAACTGCGCTGATGGCGTTCGCGGTCCCGGCGGGCGACGCGCGCGGCCACGCAGCCGCCGGCGCGATGCTGCGCGTCGCTGGTCCGTTTTTTGGCGGGCCCCCACTTGCAGCTCTGCGGCAGGCGCCCTGGCTGCTCCCGGCGGCGCACTGCGCCGGGGATGAGATCGAGAAGATGGTGCACATCTGGGTCGACGGGTGCGCTCTCGCGGCGTTCCACGCGCCCACCGGCGACGTCGAGGAGGACCGACAGGTGCGGCCTGACCGCACACTTCACCACCACCCTTCAATTCACCACCGCACCTGCTCCCGCCCCTGACAACTCCGCCTGTGTCTCGCGACGCCCGCTGAATATTTCATGGTCTCCCTTTTCCCCGTGCAGTTCCTTGGAGTTCAGGAGGCTGGTGCTAGAGCTGATGATGGCTTGCCGCACCGCCGCGACCGTCCGCGACGGGAGCGCCCGCGTGGCTGCCGGCGGCGACGCCGCGGCCGTCGGCGCGACGCTGCTGGTCCCTGCCGCGCCCACGGTTGTGCGGTGCGCATGGCGCGGATGGCCTTCGCGGTGCCAGAGGGTGGCGCGTGCGGCCGTGCGGGTCCGGGCGCTGCTCGAGCTGACGCCGGCGCGGAAGCCCCGCGCGGTGGCCGAAGCGTGGACGTGGCTGCGTGCGCCACTGCGTGTTCGCGCGAGACGCCGCCACGCGCCGTGCGACGACGATCTGCACAACGCTGCCCTCGACCGCGACGGCGGAGGGCGGCGGGAGCGATGCGGCGGACCCGCTCGGCCTGCTGCTGCGCGAGGCCGACCCGACGGCCTCGGCGGAGCCCGGGTCGGCCGCGGCGATCAACGCGGAGCGCGCTGGGGGCTGCAGAATGCCGCGGGGCAGTTCGGTAAGGACATCACGTCGCTGGCGGCGCTGCTGTCGAGCGGACTCGAGGCGGAGGTGCAACTGTCGGCGGGCTATCAGCTGCTGCTGCTCGCGCGCGCGGGGCGGCTCGACGGTCGCTCTGCCCGCCCCGAGCCGATGTTGCTCGGGCGCCTACAGCTCGCGCGCGCCCCCGCGTAGTGCATCGCTGTGGTCGACCGGCGGCTGGATGCCGTCGCGGCGGACATCCTCGCGACCAGCACGGCGTCGGGGCCCGCCGCCCGGAGCGCGACCCTGAACGCGGTAAACAGAGGAAGACATCAGTCTCGTGATGTGCTGACGCATGTTGGCAGCGGGCGGTGCGACCGCGCCCGCATCGGCGTGCGCAGGAGTCGTGCCGGCGCGGCACGGTGACACGAGATCGTGTAAGTTACCACCACGACGTAAGTTCTCACACCGGCCCAGAACTGCCATGCGCAGAGGCGGAGCCGTCGCTGTGCAGCTGCACCGGCAGGTGCGATCGCTTCTGCCGCACGCGTGGCGGCCCGTTTTGTTCTCCGGTTCCCGCAGTGCCTCCTGTAAACCACGGCAAAAATTTCTTCGCCCCCTCGGGCACCTGGCTGATGACACGCGTGCAGTCGCACCCTCCACCCGCACTGACTCGCGTTGTCTCGGGCTGAAATTCGGGGGGCACGATCACGCTGCGATACGTGCCCTTGATGTGATCGTGCAAGGAGATGACCGGCTGGCCAAGAAGTTTGATGTCCGCCATGGGAGTGGTGATGTCGAAAACGCCGTCATGCCCAGAAAACGTCCACTTCACGACGCTCGACGACGGGACGTCGATCTGCTCCTGCAGCATCCAGACGCCTTCCAGCTGCTGCGACGTCGGATCTCGCATCTCATCGTGCTCGATGGCGCCCCCGCTGAACTCGGCGAACTGCTTCGTGGTGAACAGGCGGGCGACCACCACTTTCGTCTCGCCGTGCTCGTCGCGCTCGACCTTCAGGACGGCCGTCCACACGTTGGTGATGTTGTCGAACGACCGCGGCCGCTCCTGGCCGCGCGCGGGGAAGAAACCGTTTTCGAATGCCACTCTCGCTGCCAGACCGTGCAGCGGCTCTCTCCCGACGTCGGGGCGATTCAAGTACTCGCCAGGAGCGATCCCGTTCGGGAGCATCCGGAGGAGCTCGTCCCAGGTGCACCTCGGTTCAGCGCGGAGCGAGGCGTGGCATATGTGCCTTAGCGAGGCCATCGTGACGCGGGTGCCTCTCGCAACGTCGTACAGCGGAGCAATGTGGGCGCTGTCCCGATATGACCCCAGAAGATATTCACCACTGTCGCGGACGACTTCACCGGCCACATGCCACCCTTCGGGCGGGCCCAGCCACTTCACTTGTTGCCCGGATTCGATGCGCCTCTCCGGCCACGGGACTGTCGTGGTTGGCATCTTTGCCGCGGCCCAGGTCACTTGAGCGTCATGCAATGACAGCGCACGTGTGGTCATCCCGCCTCGAGCTCGTCAGCCGCTGACAGTGACGCTGCTGTGAAGCCCCCACTCAGCCTTGTACCCAGGTGCCCAGCTGTCCCGTTCTGATTTTGTCTTGCGCGCACGACGCGCCGCGTTCGAACAACACTGACACCGCCATGTCACAGGCACGGGCATCTTCCTGGACTGCGCGTTCTCATAGGCCACTGATGTGTGGCTTTGGAAGGCTCTAGGCCTCGCTATCCGAAACGAGCCGACAGCGTGTTTGGCGGAACGCACTGCCAGAACCAATGTGTGTCACGAATGGCGCGTCGTTTCGTCGCACGACGGACGTCGCGCCCTTGAGGAGCGAAGGCGACACCGCCGCGGTGCCGCACCCCGTGGAGCCGCGCCGTGAACCACTTTCGAGCGGGGATCGTCGCATGTAGACTTCGCTCTTCTTCTCCTTGTCAATACGCGATCGTAGGCTTGCACGGGCGCGCGGCATTGCCCGCACGGAGGCGACCCTGTCACCAGCAATGCAGCCGGCCCCCCCATGAGCGCCCCGAGGAGCTACGCGAGGTGCGCAACGACGCCCTGGTCGTCGAGCGGCGCTGCCTGCGCGGGCCTGCGCTTGAGGCAGCGCTGGTTCCGCACGCCGCGCCCCCTGGCGAGCCCCAGCTTGTTGCGTGTCACAGGTCTGCCGCCTGCTCATCCCGCCGCGCGTAGATCTTGTGCGCCTCGTGGCGCTGTCCATGCGAGGCACCGGCCCGTCGGAGTGACCTGTTGCGCTCGTGCGCCGCCGTCGTGCCCGGCTCGGGGCGGTGCTAGATGCCGCGGGGGGTGCAGAGCGCCTGGCGGGGCTTCAAGGGGCGCGTCAGGCGGCGCAGCGTCTGCGTGAGGTCGTGGAGCTTTGTCGCCAGGTCCGCAACCTCTCCGACGTACTCCTCCGTGCCGACGCGTGCCCGCGAGTGCCCCCCCCCCACGCCTTGTCCAATCCCAGTGCGCGTGCCGCTCGGCCCGGCCGGCCGGCGCTTGGCGGCGCTGCAGCAGGATGTCGAGCTCGAGGAGCAGCGGGCGGTGGCCGAGTCCGCCGCAGCCGGGGAGGGCGTCGAGGGCCTTCTCGCCGATGTCCGCGAGGGCCTCGAAGCGCTTGACGGCCGTCGCGGCCGCCGGGTTGACCGCCGCGTAGTCGATGACCGTGCCGGTCAGGTCGTGCTGTCGGCGGTGCGTGACAAGGCCCGATGCCGGCCCCAATCTGCCGTGAGCATGTGGAGCCCGCTGCGCACCAGGACATGCGCGCCCTCGCCCGCGCGCGGGTTGTCGGCGTCGTAGGCGCTGCCCGACGGCGTGTCGTGCTCCGGCGCGGGCTCGAGCGGGCCGTAGCCGTCCTCATCGTCGTCAGACACGCTGATGTGAAAGATTCGAGCTTCGACGGCGACGTGGGTGGGGTCTAGGCGACGCGGATGGTGGCGGAGTTGCGGGAGCCGTCGAGCAGTCCACGCTGGTCGGCGCTGGGCGACTCGGGGAGGTGGCAGATGCCGTTGTGGACGACGAACGCCGTCCCCTGCCTGCGCGTGTCGTCGGTGGTGTCGATGTCGATGTGCAGCACGGCGTGGTATCCCGCGGGAATCGCGGCCTCCGGGAAGGCACTGCCCGTCGGCAGCCACGTCTCCTGCAGCGCGATGATGTCGGGGGGGGGCGGGGGAAAGGTTGGCTCGTTGACAAGAAGAAACTTTCGTTTCCATGATCGGGGGTCACAAACCCCCCGATGGTCCAGGAAACCGCAGCGAGCCCTTGGGTATGGCTTTCGGAGGGCCAGGGGGGGGCGGTGCGGTCCTCCGAGTCTGCCGCGCGCGCAAACGCCGCCCTCACCGCCCCCGACGCGCTCCCGAGGCCGCGCCCTCGGCCGGCCTCGCGGTGGGCCCCGCCGGGCGCGGTGCTGGAGGCCCGGCGCCGGTGCTTCCCCCCTGCGTGCGCGCCGCCGTGGCGCCTCTGGGGCCGCGACGTGGCGGGTGGAGGCCTCCGCCGGTGTCGGGGGAGGGTCCAGACCGCGCCGCGGACCGTGGCGAAGCCGTTCGAGTCCTTGCGGGGTGCCTCGCGCTGGCAGTCGGTAGGACCGCGCGGGGCGCGGGCCGGGGTCCGTGTCGCGTGCTCCGTGGGGAGCGCGTGGCCGGCAGCCTGAATGGCAGGCTCAGTCACGGGCCGGGGCGAGGTATTCGTCGTGCATGGGGCGCAGTACGAGCGCGGAATGGCTTGGACCAGTGGAGTGGAAGCGAGAGCGGAACGCGGGGGCGGGCAGACTCCCTGTGCGGCGAGCCAGCGGTGGAGTCCAGGCCGGAGCGGCGTCCACCCAGGCCTCGGCGTCCTGGCCGAGCTCGAACACCCTGTGCTCGCGGGGCGTCTTGGTCAGGCTGTTGTGCAGCTCTGCGCGGATGCGCCCCATGTGAGTGCACTCCCACGTGACCCTCGCCGGCGAGGCTGCCTTGCCACTGCGGATGCAGCGCGGAAGACCTCGCGCGGAAGCTTGCGCTCAAGTAGCTCCTTCGAGGTCATGCTGCGCGTGACGTACATCTGGAACGTGCCCTGCGTGCGGTTGGGGCGCGCGAGGCTCCCGCTGCACCACTCGTGCAGGCGCTGCACCTGCTGAGCACGCGGGAGTGGTCGTGCGCGTCGGGCAGCACCAGCCTCCACTGCTGCCCGAGGGCCTGCTCCATGACCGTCTTGCCATCGACCACGGTGTGGAGGTTGCCGGCGCAACGCTGGCTGCGGTCGTTCATCGGGAACAGCGAGGTGGCGGGCGGGCAGGCGAGGCCGACGTCCGTGAACCACGAGGTGTGGGCTGGCAGGCGCGGTGACCCTGCGCGAGCAGAGCAGGGGCAGGATGCACTCGTGTTGCTCGATCTCCTTCACGTGGACCTGGTCCATGTGACAGGTGCCTAGCTCTTCTGTGTGGTCGCCGGCAATGTACGCGGGCGCAAGCGGGGACAGAGCGCTGTCGACGACTTTTCCAGGCATCGTAGAGCCGCGGGGAGCCGACAAGATGCCCGTGGCTCACGGAACACATCCGCATCGCCTCACATGCGTACAGGTGACCGACCGCGACAGCTACGTCCACGCCCTTGCCGCCAACGTCCGCTACATGATCCACGAGCGCGGATATGACAGAGCACGCCTCTATCGCCAGCACAGGGCCGCATGCCTGAAACGTGCGGCCCCACACTTGCGCCTGCCACACACTTGAAGGCGTTCACGACCTCGTTGTCCGCGAAGTTACGCGCCTTGACGCTGCCAACGCACCCGCGAACCACGCGTATCCCGTCGACCGCACCCGACATGCGCCGTCGTACTTCGCCCCGGCGCTGGCAGCGTGCGGCTTTCAGCGATCTCCCCGTGAACGTTTACGGCTAATACACCTCCCCTTACTCGACGAACCCCCCCCACCCCAACACTTCCCCACACCAAACCCCCTCCCCTCCCTCCCCCAACCCCCTTCCTGCGGCCGTGCGGGTGTTCCGCGGCCCTGGAGCCCCATGACACCATCATCGGTATGTATCATATGATATCACCGCCTCACCTGACATGCGTGATGTCTTGCGTGTGTCTCACCGGGCAGGGCCGCCGGCCGACGACATCGGGACGCTTGGTGGGGCTCGCCGACGAGTACCCGCACGCCCGCGGGGCTCGTCAATGATCGAAGACATCACTCAAGCTGCGCAGGTGCTGGGACCCCGACATCTGTTGCTGCCGCTTGCTCATCCTGCGTGCGGGTACTCCACCGCATCGTTGCTCTCGGCCTTGGTTGTTCATTACACGGAGGACTGCACCGCCGTGCGGTCCGTCGAGTGGCATCCTGCGAGCAGTGAGTCACGAACGGGCGCCCGGGGGCACGTAGTCGGGGTCCTGGCCGTCTCCGCCGCTGCATTCCGCGTCGGCCATGCCGGCGGGCCGCACGGGGCACGTCTCCGGTCTGTAAGTCTCGGCGGGGAAGGACTGTGTCGCGGGGGGATCGTCAGGCGCCGTCGTGGCGCGCTGCGTGTCCCGTGCGGCGTCCTCGTTGTTCATCTATGTCCTTGACGCCATCGACGCCGATCCGGCAGTCGTCTTCGTACGTTTGTCATACCCGTGGCGACGTACGTCACGTAGGCAGGTTGTCAGCGCTCGGCGGTCGGTTGGGCGCGGAGCCGTGCCGCCGCGGAGACGCGAGCGCACGCTGCGAGCGCACGCGGCGAGGTGCGGGGCGGCGAACGCACTCAGCGCTGCTGATGTTGCCGTGGTGCCTGAGGCGGCGCATGCGCAGGCGGCTCGCTGCTTTGGATCGAGGCATCGCGCGACCGCTGTCCGTCCATGGCCGCCGATCATCCGTGTGCGCAGGACACGGCGCCGTCCGCACGAACCTCCCCCCCCGTCGAGCGTCACTCCCCCATGCAGTCTGACTGACTGATGGCCACGCGCGGCGCCGGCAGGACGCGCCTGCGGACGAGGGCGCGCCCAGCGCGACTTGCGGCGCAGAGTTGCAAGTGATCGGTGAGCGCGCTGCCGCCCTTCGCAACGATGAGCGACCAGCCGACGGCCCGCACGCAGAAGGAGCTGCTGGAGAGGCTCCGAGGTGAGGTTTGGCCCGCCCGCACTGACGTGCCACGATGCCGTAGACGTGCATCACACCTCGGAGCGCGTGTTAGCCGCGTGCTGGGACGATCTTGCACAGGATCCCTGTCCAGGGGCGGTGCGACTGTAGGACTTCTCTGCCAGTGCACAGGCGGATTTCCCACTCGCCGCGCCCCTCCGCGGCCGCGAGGCCCCTGGTCAGATATCACGTCGATGAGTCCTGCACGATAGTTGTGCCTCAATGACGGACCCGGCACGTCCGAAGCCGGCAGAGCCGTGCAGTCGTGGTCGACACCCTCGTCGCGATATGTGCCGCCCCGTGGCCGCCACGCGAGGACGTGGGGCCGGTTTTCGGGTAGCGATCATTTATGCGATCCGTCTCCGTCGCGTTTGTCGCGCTCACGTCGGCGGTGGGCTCGCGGCGTGCGCCTTGTTGTCTCCCAACCCTTGCTGCACGGCCGCCCGCGACATCTGACGACACCGGTCGACCTCTCCGCTGTGACGCAGGGCTTCGGAAGGCCTACCCGTTGGGGGAGTGCTCCGAGCAGGGCTGCGACCAGGAGGCGGTCTTCGAGAAGGTTTTTTCGCCGCTCGTCTGTTCGGACATGCGGAGGCGCTGCTACTGTCTCCGCCACGGATCGTGGTGGATGGACGAGAAGGTGCGGGAGCTGGCGCCGGGCACGTGGATGGTTTCTTCGGAGAGCGATATGATACACCATCTCTTCCTGCTCCTGGGGAACCACATCCGCCCAGGCACGACCGACGTCGTCAGTCTCGACAAGACGTTCACGCCGGGCTGCCAGTATCGTCCCGACGTCTTCATCGACGGGCCTGAGCGGGGAGTCCTCATCGAGAACGACGAAAATGGACACTTTGGTTATTCGGGGCCGGCCGACCGCGCGCGGACGGTCGACGTGCACAAGGCTGCCGCGGACCACGCCGGAAAGCCGGTCCACCTGATCCGCTTCCGTCCCGACGAGTACGAGGACGAGAACGGCGTGTGGGGGATGCACTTTTCCTGGGTGCACCGCCTGTATCGCCTCGCGGTGTCGGTCTTCTTCGCGATGTTCTGCGCGGAAGGGCCCGCGCAGGTCGACGACGCCTTCATGCACAACGGCAGGCTCCTGACCGTCGAGCGACTGTTCTACGGCGCGTACCCGGGCCCGCCGGCGGAGCTCCTCACCATGCTCGCGCCGAAGCTGCGCAAGACTGATGTCAATCCAAGGGACTCGTTCAAGACGACCTGGCAGCAGATCTTCGAGGCCGTCGGCGGGTCTCCGGCGATGTGCGAGGCACTCAAGGACATCGCACTGCAGGGCCGTGTGGCCAACGTCCCCCTGCCTGCGGCCGCAGACGACGCGGCCTGCAAGGACCGGCGGTTCCAGAGGCTTCCTCGGCCGTACGGGGGGGTCGGATCCCCCGAGCCCTTGGCGGTGCCTCCGGGGGAACAGGCGATGATCAATGCCGACGCGCAGGCGTTTGCCACGAAGTTCGGGCTCGGGGACGTCGAGCACTTCGACGCGTAGGCGTCTCGCGCGGGGGCTGGGTCCTTGTGTCCCTGGAGGTGTGAGCTCTGATGGATACCTGACGTCAGCGTGCCAACGATGAAAACAACAACGCGCAAGTCCCCCGGCCGTGTCTGTGGCCCGCAGGCGCTTCCTTGTGGCCCGCAGGCGTCCCCTTGTGGCCAAGGAAGTCGTACCTCGTGACGCAGACGCTCTGAGGGGGTGGTCAAAAGGGCATAAATATATGGTTTCCTCTCTCGTCTTTTCGTGGTCATCCTTGCGCAGGGGCCATGCTAATCTTCTCTGTATCATTTCCACTGTTAGTAAGTGAACCGAAGTTCGAAATTCCACGCGAATTCCACTGGTATACAACCGTCCCACGCAGATTGAGCACATCTGTACCACAATGCCACGATTTCGCCTACTCTGGGCGCCTGCAGCGCACAGCAGGTGCTGCTCCCGCGCATTCATCGCCGCGACCGGCGCGCGCTTGGTGGTGGCTCGCCTTTCCGCGAGGAATGCGCCGCGTCGGAGGCGGTACCGCGAACCGCGGCGTCGACAAAGACGCACCACACCACACGTTGCGGTGCCGCCGCGGCGGCCGCCTCGGGCCTGTGCGGGTGCGTGCGCGCCGGCGGCGCCCCCGGCGCGGCCGCCGCGCGCGCTTTCGACGCGTCCCGCGCGCCCCCGGGCGCACCGCGGGCACGCATGTCGACGCACGTCACCTTGGACGTCGCGAGCGAACGAAGATATGAAGCCGCATGGATCGACGGTCCCACTGCGAAGCGCGGACGAGCGCGGGGTCCGTGAGCACAGAGAGGGACACTGCTGGCGGCGCCGCGCCACCCGGATCCCGTGCGACATCTCCCGTCAGACCCGACCCGGCGGCCCGACGGCCCGACGGCCCGTTGGAGCGGCAGCCACGCGCCGCGCCGCACTCTCTCGCAGCCGGACAGCATTTCGGTGATTGTGGGAAGGGCGCGTGGGCCTCAGCACATCACACGTCCCGCTGGTGTGCAGCCAGCCCCCCCACTGGCGCGGGCGCGGGCGTCCGTCGCGCGACCGTGGAGGGCCGAGGCGGCGACAACATGGACGCTCTGTCGCTGGGCTATGCCACGAAGCCCGCACAGCCGGGGCCCGAGGTGCGCAGGGAGCGCCGCGCCGCGCGCCACGGTTGCCCCAGCAGGGATCGCCGACCGTGCACGTCGCACCGCTCGCGTCTGGCCGCGAGCGACCGCGCGCCGCGTCCTCTGTTCCCGTCCCGCAGGATCAGCCTCAAGAGAAGAAGAAGGAGGATGAGCCGTCCGAGGTACGCGGCTCAACCTGCTGCACCAGCGCCCGCCCGCCCCCGCGACTCGTCCGCGCCGCCCGCGGCCGCCCGCGAGCACCCGCGCGCCCCGACACGATCTCGAGGGGGGTGACCACCGCGACGCCCCCGACCCCACGGCGTGAAGCGCGCCGCGCCCCTTCCCCCCCGCCTCCTGCGCGCAGGACGAGCTCAGCACGCCGTGGCGCGCGTGCGCGTGGGGGCGGATCGACAGGCTGAAGGAGATGTTGGACAAGGACGCCGAGTGCGGGCGGAGAGCGAACGAGGACGGGTTCTACCCGCTGCAGTGGGCGGCGCTGAACAACCGCGTGGACACCATCGCGTACCTGCTGGACGAGTGCGGCGCCGCGCTGCACCAGGAGGACCACACGGGGCAGACCGCGCTGCACTGGGCCGCGGTCACCGGGTCGATGGAGGCCGCGCAGTGCCTGCTGGACCGCGGCGCGTCCGCCGACCACCCGGACCGCAAGGGGTACACGCCGTGCCACGTGTGCGCGCAGTACGGGCAGACGGCGCTGCTGTACTACTTCCACTACCGCTGGAAGGCCGACACGGACCGCCAGGACGCCGACGGCCGCACGCCGCTGCACTGGGCGTGCTACAAGGGCTTCGCGGACACCGCGCGCCTGCTCATCGTGCTCGAGTGCAAGATGCTCAACCCCGACAAGGTGCGCGCGCGTGGGGCAGAGGGGGTAGGGGGGAGCGCGCGCGAACACATGCCCCACACACACGCGCAACAACAAGCACAGACACATACACGCACGCACAACGCACAAGACGCGTACGAACCGACGCTCACGGCGCGCGCGCGCAGGAGGGGTGTTCGCCGGTGCACTGGGCGGCGATCCGCGGGTACGGCGAGTGCATCACGGTGCTGGTGCACGGCGGCGGGCCGGACATGCTCAAGGAGAAGGAGGTGACGGGGTGCACGCCGTACGAGCTGGCGATGGCCAAGGGGCACGTGACGGTGGCCAAGCACGTCAAGGCGATCCAGACGCGGCAGCAGCAGGCCAAACACCCGCTCTGGGGCGCCAACGGGCGCCTGCGCTGGCTCGCCGCGCTGCACCTGTGCCCCGTGGTGTGGGGGATGATGCTCGGGCTCGGGCTGTGGTTCTACCACGTCGTCGTCGCGGACAGCGCGGCGTACGGCCCGCTCGGCCCCGCGATGACGCGGTGGGTCCAGTTCGCGTACGTCCTGCTCGCCGCGTCGCTGGCGCTGCTGTACAAGACCACCACGGCGGACCCGGGCGTCATCTCGCCGGGCATCGGCGAGGCGCGCCCGTCCAAGGAGGACCCCGAGCTGTTCGAGCCGAACCAGTACAGCTTCCGCGGGTCGCCCGCGCTGTGGCGGGGCAACTGGGGGCAGATCTGCGTGAGCTGCCGCATCGTCAAGCCGCTGCGGTCCAAGCACTGCGCGGTGCGCGACCGCTGCATCGAGGTGTTCGACCACTACTGCCCCTGGGTCGGCACCACCGTGGCCAAGGGCAACCGGCACTACTTCCTGGCCTTCCTGTGGACCGGCCTGGCCACGATGGTCCTCGGCGCGGTGCTCGCGGGCGTGCGCGCGCGCAGCGTGGTCACGGGCCGCGCGCGCGCCGACCACATGGGCGCGCACCTCGGCGTGGTGTTCTTCATCGTGTTCGACGTGCTGCTCATGTTCTCGGTGGGGCTGCTCGCCATGGCGCAGACGAACCAGGTGATGCACAACGTGACGACGAACGAGCTCGCGAACTGGTACCGCCTCCCGCACTTCAAGGACCCGCGCGGGCGCTACCGGAACCCGTTCGACCGCGGGTGGAGGCGCAACGTGTGGGAGACCTTCCACCCGAAGACGACGCCGCTCGAGGGGGTCGTGCTGTCGCCCGAGCGGGAGGCCGTCGAGGCGCCGCTGCACGCGTGCGGCGACGCGGGGTGCCGGCACTGACTGCGTGTGAGCGCGTGGGTGACCGCATCGCAGTCGCAGACGACGTGTCAATTACTACTCTGTGTCTCTCCCTCGCGGCGGCGCGCGGCCGTCGTTGTCGAGGCACCGCTGCACGCGCGCGGCGACGCGGGGGTGGCGGAACCGACAGCGCCGAAGCAGGCCCGCTGTGTCGCCGTGACATTTGACGAATTCCTCCCGGCCAGCCCACGCTGGCGCCGTCGGGGGCCCTCCCTCGCGACCGCCTCCGCCTCCGCCTCCGCCTCCGCCTCCGCCTCGCCTGCCACCCGGTGGAACACACCACACACAACGCACACGGCATGCTTCGTCGACTCTGGTGCGCTCGCCGCCGCGTCGCCGAGCCGCCGCGGTGGAACCGTCGCGTCGTGCGGGATGCATGTGAATGTATCTCGCCGTTCCGGGGGAAATGAGGTGCATATCAACGCCCGCGCGCCCCCTGCGGGGTGCCTGGGGCCTCCGGCGGGCAGTCGGCAGAGTCCCGCAGGGCCGGCAGGGCCCGCACGTCGAGGGCGTGGGTCGGCGCGCGGCACGGACAGATCCGGGCTGTTTCTAGCGAACATCCCGTGGCCTCAGTGACATCAACATGCGTCTGAATGCGCTGCTAGACTCGACAGCCGGTGCTGCCCAGCAGCAGACGGCCCAGAATGTCCGCCTCGGGGCGACTCTGGTGCGTTCGCGGCCCGAACGCGCCTTCACGCTCCTCACGACGCCCGCCCGTCGCGCCCCTCGTCCCGCCAGGCCGCCCACGTCGCGCCCCTCCGGTCACCTTACCCGCAGCCCGTGCACCGCTCGTCGCGGCCTAGCAAGAATGCCGACCGCCGCGCGGCCCGCGCGGTCGACAGGCGCCAGAAGGCCAAGCACATCGCGGCCGCTGCGGCCGACAGCCCCGCCGCGGACCTGGAGGACATCCTGAAGGAGCGCGACGCGTGCGGGGTGCGAGTCCCGCCCACCGCGCCATACCTCCCCCCGGTTTCGCACGCGCCGGCCCCCTCGAATAACGTGCTGCCGGCCTGGTCGAACGGCAACCGCGCATTTGCCCCGGAACGCCGGCGCGCGGCGGCTGCCCCCATCTGTTGGAGGTCTTGCGCTCCGGCCGCGCCGTCCAGCCCCTCGCGCCCGCCGCCGCGCGGCGTGCGCCATGTCCGTCCCCGCGGCCGCCGAACGACGCGACAGTTCTCGCGCCATCGCCCCGCGCGGACCCCAATTCCGCCGCCCTCCCACCGCCCCGGCCGGCCACACACGCGCGCATCTCGCGCGGCCCCGGCGATCTCGCCGCCACCGCCGCACCCCCCGTCTCCGCTCCGGTCCCCGCCGCCGCGGGACCCGCGCGCGCGTCTCCTCCTCCCCTCACGCCGGGAGCCGCCGCCCACGCACCAGCGAGTGGCCGACGCCTCCGACCGCGCCCCCGCGCCGCCCGCGCGCCGCAGCGGCGCCGCGCCCGCGCACGCGCACGCCTCGCGTCCCCGCGCCGCTCGGCCCCGCATCCGCCGGCGCGCCCGCCCGCGCGCCGCACGCGCCGCGCTGCCCCGCCCCCGCCAGGGCTAGCCTCGCACACCGCCGCGCCCCCCCGCGTCGACCGCAGGTGGGCTTCATCGCCAACATCCGCCAGGAGAAGTCCCACAAGATCATCCAGGACGTGAGCGCCCAGCGACCGCGCCGCCGCCGCCCCTCTCACGTGCTGCCACACACTCGCACAAACACACACGGCCCCCCCCCCATCCGCCCCCCCCGCCCTTCCACGCCGCAGGCCTGCAACGCGGTGGCGTGCATGGAGCACCGCGGCGCGTGCTCGGCGGACGACGTGTCGGGCGACGGCATCGGCATCATGGCCGAGATCCCGTGGGCCCTCCTCGCCGAGTCCTTCCCCGAGGTCTCCGCGGGCGGCCCGTACGGCGTGGGCATGGTCTTCCTGCCGAACGACGACGACCTCGAGGCCCAGTGCGAGGCCGCGCTGGAGGCCGCCGCGCGCGAGGGCGGCTTCGAGGTGCTCGGGTGGCGCGCGGTGCCCGTGGAGCACGACGCCGTCGGCCGCATCGCCAAGGGCACGCAGCCGCGCATCCGCCAGATCGTGGTCAAGTCCACCGAGGGCCTGACCGGCGACGCCCTGGAGCGCGCCCTGTACTTCGTGCGCCGCTCGTGCGAGGCCAAGGGCCGCGCGCTGGGCGACCTGGGCGGGCAGGACTTCTACGTGTGCTCGCTGTCGACGCGCGTGATCGTGTACAAGGGCATGCTCAACGGCACGGGCTTCGCGCGCTTCTTCAAGGACCTGCAGAACGACGCGTACGAGACGAGCTTCGCGATCTACCACCGCCGCTTCTCCACCAACACCAACCCGCGCTGGCCGCTCGCGCAGCCCATGCGCTTCCTGGGCCACAACGGCGAGATCAACACGCTGCAGGGCAACCTCAACTGGGTGGCCTCGCGCCAGGGCGACCTCGAGCACCCCGTCCTGGCGGGCCACGAGGACGTGGTCTTCCCGCTGTGCTCGGCCGCCGAGTCCGACTCGGCGAACCTGGACCACGTCGCCGAGCTGCTCGTGCAGACGGGCACGCCCGCGGAGGAGGCCATGATGGTGCTCGTGCCCGAGGCCTACCGCAACCACCCGGAGCTCATGGAGAAGTACCCCGAGGTGGTGCCCTTCTACGAGCACTTCGAGGGCCTCCAGGAGGGCTGGGACGGCCCCGCGCTGCTGGTGTTCTCGGACGGCAAGCACATCGGCGCGCGCCTGGACCGCAACGGCCTGCGCCCGGCCCGGTACTGGACCACGGAGGACGGCATGGTCTACATGGCGTCCGAGGTCGGCGTGCTCGGCGACGTGTTCGACTCGGCGTCGAAGATCGCGATCAAGGGCCGCCTGGGCCCCGGGCAGACGGTGCTCGCCAACCTGGAGACGGGCAAGGTCATGGAGAACGAGGACGTGATCAAGGCCGTCGCGGCGCGCCGGAACTACGCGGAGCTGGTGACCAAGGGCGTCTCGCGCCTCGAGGACGCCGGCAAGTCGACGTTCCCCGCGGCGCCCACGCTGGAGGCCGGCGCGGCGCTCAAGCTGCAGACGGCGGCGGGCATGTCGCTCGAGGACGCGCAGCTGATCGTGGAGAGCATGGCCGCGTCGGGCGTGGAGCCGACGTACTGCATGGGCGACGACACGCCGCTCGCGGTGCTCTCGGGCCGCGGGCACATGCTGGCGGACTACTTCAAGCAGCGGTTCGCCCAGGTCACCAACCCGCCCATCGACCCGCTGCGCGAGGGCCTCGTCATGTCGCTCGAGATGCGCCTCGGCAAGCGCGGCAACCTGCTCAACCCGGACGAGGGCACCGCGCACCAGATCCTGCTCAAGTCGCCGCTGGTGACCGAGGCCGAGCTGGAGCACATCAAGGGGCAGGGGGAGGCGTTCGGCACGCGGGTGTTCGACCTCACCTTCGACCAGGGCGACAAGGACGGGCTCGAGAAGGCCGTGGAGAAGATCTGCGCGGACGTCGAGGCCGCGGTGAAGGACGGGTGCGAGATCGTGGTGCTGTCGGACCGCGCGGGCGCCGAGGCGGGCGAGCCGCAGGTGCCGATGCTGCTCGCGACGGGCGCGGTGCACCACCACCTGATCCGCAAGGGCATGCGCTCGCAGACGTCGATCGCGTGCGAGACCTCGCAGTGCTTCAGCACGCACCACGTGGCCACGCTGGTCGGCTACGGCGCGCACGCCATCTGCCCGTACCTGGCGTACGAGACGTGCCGCCAGTGGCACGCGAGCCCGCGCACGCAGAAGCTGGTCAAGGCCGGCAAGATGCCCAACATCACGATCGAGGCGGCGCAGAACAACTTCAAGACGGCCACCGAGAAGGGCCTGAAGAAGATCCTGTCCAAGATGGGCATCTCGCTGCTGTCGTGCTACCACGGCGCGCAGATCTTCGAGGCGTACGGCCTCTCGCGCGAGGTGGTCGACAAGTGCTTCTACGGGTCGATCTCGCGCATCGGCGGCATGTCGTTCGCCGAGCTGCAGGAGGAGGCCGTCGGGTTCTGGTCCAAGGCGCACTCGTCGGGCGAGGAGCTCAAGAAGCTCGAGAACTTCGGCTTCATCCAGTCGATGCGCGGCCTCGAGTACCACGCCAACAACCAGGAGATGTCGAAGCTCCTGCACAAGGCCGTGGGGCTGGGCTCCAAGGACGCGCAGCCCGAGGCGTACGACGCGTACCTCGAGCACTTCGCGAACGCGCCCGTGCACGTCCTGCGCGACTGCCTCGAGTTCAAGTCGGACCGCGAGCCCATCGCGGTGGACGAGGTGGAGAGCGTGGGCGACATCATGGAGCGCTTCTGCACGGGCGGGATGTCGCTCGGCGCCATCTCGCGCGAGACGCACGAGACGATCGCGGTGGCGGTCAACCGCATCGGCGGGCGCTCCAACTCGGGCGAGGGCGGCGAGGACCCCGTCCGCTGGCTCAAGATGGACGACGTCGACGCCGAGGGCAACTCGCCGACCTTCCCGTACCTGCGCGGGCTCGAGAACGGCGACACGGCGACCTCGAAGATCAAGCAGGTGGCCTCGGGCCGCTTCGGCGTCACCCCGCACTTCCTGGTCAACGCCGACCAGGTGGAGATCAAGATTGCGCAGGGCGCCAAGCCGGGCGAGGGCGGGCAGCTCCCGGGCAAGAAGGTCTCGCCGTACATCGCGGACCTGCGCCGCTCGAAGCCGGGCGTCCCGCTCATCTCGCCCCCGCCGCACCACGACATTTACTCGATCGAGGACCTGGCGCAGCTCATCTGGGACCTGCACCAGGTGAACGAGACGGCCAAGGTGTCGGTGAAGCTGGTGAGCGAGGCCGGCATCGGGACGATCGCGTCGGGCGTGGCCAAGGCGAACGCGGACGTGATCCAGATCTCGGGGCACGACGGCGGCACGGGCGCCTCGCCGGTGTCGTCCATCAAGCACTGCGGCGGGCCCGTGGAGATGGGCCTCGCCGAGGTGCACACGTCGCTGACGCGCAACGAGCTGCGCGAGCGCGTGGTGCTGCGCGTGGACGGCGGCATCCGCAACGGCCGCGACGTGATGATGATGGCGCTCCTGGGCGGCGACGAGTTCGGCTTCGGCACGCTGGCCATGATCGCGACGGGCTGCATCATGGCGCGCGTGTGCCACACGAACAACTGCCCCGTCGGCGTGGCCTCGCAGCGCGAGGAGCTCCGCGCGCGCTTCCCGGGCGCCCCGTCGGACCTGGTGCACTTCTTCGAGTTCGTCGCGCAGGAGGTCCGCGAGGAGCTCGCGCGCCTGGGCTACCGCTCGCTCGACGAGGTCATCGGCCGCACGGACCTCCTCACGCAGTCCAAGACCAAGACGCTCGAGAAGACGGCCGGCCTCGACCTGTCGTTCCTCCTCCAGCACGCCGAGCGCACCGGCCTGTCGTCGGACCGCCGCAAGCAGGAGACGCACATCAACTGCCCGGTCTGCCTCGACGACGAGATCCTCGCCAAGCCGGAGATCCAGGCCGCCATCCAGTCGGGCGGCGACGCCTCGCTGGACGTGGACATCGTCAACGTGGACCGCGCGGCCATGGGGCGCGTGGGCGGGGCGATCGCGCGCCTGCACGGCGACCGCGGGTTCCCGGGCACGATCAAGCTCAACATCCGCGGGTCCGCGGGGCAGTCGTTCGGCTGCTTCATGGTGGGCGGCATGGACGTGACGCTCGTGGGCGAGGCCAACGACTACGTGGGCAAGGGCATGGCCGGCGGCGTGCTGTCGATCCGCCACCCGGAGGACGTCAAGTACGCGCCCGAGGACGCCGCGCTCGTGGGCAACACGTGCCTGTACGGCGCGACGGGCGGCAAGCTGTTCGTCAACGGGCGCGCGGGCGAGCGCTTCGCCGTGCGCAACTCGCTGGCGCAGACGGTCGTCGAGGGCGCGGGCGACCACTGCTGCGAGTACATGACCGGCGGCACCGTGGTGTGCCTCGGCACCGTCGGCCGCAACGTCGCGGCCGGCATGACGGGCGGCGTGGGCTACTTCTACGACCCCGCGGGCAACTTCGAGTCGCGCGTGAACAAGGAGATCGTCAAGATGCAGCGCATCCCGTCCCCCGCGGGCGAGGCGCAGCTCAAGGGCCTCCTCGAGGAGCACAAGCAGCGCACGGGCTCGGCCAAGGCCGCGGCGATCCTCGACAACTGGGACGCCGAGAAGGGCAAGTTCTGGCAGCTCGTGCCGCCCTCGGAGGCCGCCACGCCCGAGTGCGCGCCGCCGGAGCTGCAGGCCGCCGTCGCGGCCTAGGCGCGCGCGGGGACGGCCAGGGAGCAGGACAGCCACGTGTCCCGGGTCGCGACGCGCCACCGCGCCGCCCCCCGCGGACCGATCGTCCGCCGGCGCAGCGTGCGGCGACGGGGCGGCGTAGGCCGGGTGGGTGGTCGATGCCCCTCCCGGCGAGGTTGCATGTAGGTAGTTCGAACAGTAGCTCGACGTTTGTGACGACCTGAGAATCACGCGGTGCGGACCCACGCGCGGGGCAGCAGCAGCAGCAGCTCCCATCCAGGCGCGGCCTAGAGGTCTCAGAGGTGCCGCCTTGCGTTCCACGCTCCGGTACGCGGGTCTGTGGGTCGCGTGACGCTGTGCGGCGGCTGCCTGGGAGTCGTTACAGTGTTGATGCACCCGGGGCGGATCAGTGGATCCGCGCCGTGTGCACCTGGGAGGCGCCCGGAGCTGCGCAGGTCGCTGTGTGGTGTCGCTGTCATCTTCTCACTTCAACGCGGGGACGGGGAGCCCGTCCCGCACGTCAAGTTACATGCCGGCCTCGTGGGTGACGGATTTGCGCGCCTGGGTCCGTGCGCCGGGCATCGCCCGGGCAACGGAGCGCAGGGGGGCGCGTTGGTGGCGCCACCGACAGGGGCGCAGCGTGCGGCCGCAGCGCGGCGCCCGCACCACCGGGAGAGCTGAAGGCGTCCGGGCAGCGCCGGCTCGGGCGACGCGGCGCCCGGCGCTGCCAGGGGGGAGCAGCTTCGTCGTTGTCTTCGTCGTCGTGGCGACTGTTTGCGGAGCTCGGGAGGTGCCGAGTGCGGGCCCCGGAGGCGGAAACGGACAGTGACGGACGCGGAGGGGGGGCCTCGCCGCGCCCGTGGAGCGGGTGCTGTGCAGGTGCTGTGGTGCGCTGTTGTTGTTGGTGGCGGTGGCTCGAGCAGGGCGCCGAGGTGGTGCGCGTGTGAGCTACGACGCGAGCGGCCGGGAAGGGGTCGGGGCGCGCGGCGGTGGCCGCCGGCGCCTCGAAGCCCCTGCGGGGGCCGCCCTCGCCCCCCCCTCGCGGCACACGCGAGGCGGTGCCTCGGGCGGGGGGCGGCGCCGCGGGCGCGTCGGTGCGCGGCTCGCGGCGTCGGCGTCGTGAGTGTGTCAAGTTGGGCATGGGTAGGGGGTGGGGCGTCTGCGGGGCGACGCGTGTGGCCGAATCAGGCAACAGGCCCTGTAGGGGATGACTGCACGGAGAGACGGCGGGCTCTGGAGCCCGGCCGCGTCGGTCTTCATCCCTCTCCGGAAGCACATGCGCGACAAGGTCGGGGGGCAGGCGGGGGAGAGGGGGGAGAAAGGGAGGGGGGGGGAGAGCGCTGTCAGGGGGAGGTCTCTCGAACGGAACGAGTGGAGTCCGAACGTCTCCGGCCGCGGAGCGGGCTCCCTCAGCGCGACCCCTGCTCCCCGCCGACGGGGATGTCGGTGCGCGGGCGCTTCGCGGCCATCTCCTGCAGCTCGTCGACAGCGCGCTTCTGGCCGGCGCCCGCGGGCGACGACGTGGGCGGCTGGCTGCGCGGCGGCGCGCTCGTCGGCGCCGCCTGCGACGTCGGCGCGGCCTGCGCGGCGAGGAGCTGCTGCAGCGCGGCCTGGATGGTCTGGTTGGCCGTCGCCTGGTTGTGGCTGCTGCCGCCGCCGCTGGCGCCGGGATGGTGATCCGACGCCTGGTTGTCGGCGCCGTTCTTCAGCCCGCCGAGGAGCTGCAGCAGCGCCGTGTTGTTGCTCACGGGCGCGGCCGGGAGGCTCATGGCGGGGTCGCCGCCGATGCCGCTGACCGGGAGCAGCGGGGCGCCGGAGCGCGCGGCGCCGTCGACGGGCTGGCTCGCGAGCATCGGGGGCGGCGGCAGCATGGCCTGGGGCGCGCTGAGCGGCTGCGGCGCCCCCGCGAGGGACAGCGGGGCGCTCAGGGGCAGCGAGCCGAGCGGCAGGGAGGCCGCGAGGGCGCCGCGCTGGTCCTGCTGGGCCTGCTGGGCCTGCAGCTGGCGCATGGCGAGCTGCACGAGCGCGGTCGTGCTGCTCGGCTGCCCGGGCTGGGAGGCCGGCGGGGCCTGGAGCCCGGGGAGCGCCGACAGCTGCGCGCAGCGGGGGCGCGGGGGCGCGGGGCGGGGTCAGCGTGCGAGGTTCCCGCGGTCCGCGCGCGCGAGGGCCCGGGTACGCGCGCACGCGGCCCGCGCGGTGTCGTCACGGGGGGGCTGGCTGGCCACACCAGGCACAGGGTCGCGGGCGCGGCACGCACCTGGCTGCCGAGGGTGCTCTGGCCCTGCGAGGACGCGATGAGCTGGAGGATGGCCGCGGGGTCGCCGCCCGCGCCGGAGAGCGCGTGTCCGACGTTCGCGGGCTGGCTGGCCGCCCATGCCGCGGGCTGGGGCACCGGCGCGTGCGCAAACGCCGGGACGTTGACCTTGGGGACGCCCGCGTTCGGCTGGCTCCTGCTGTCGGCGAAGACGGCCAGCTCCGCGGCCTGGGCCCTGCGCGGGCGGAACACGGGGCGCGGGAGTCGCACGGATCGCCCGGGGGCGCATGGCCCTCAGCTGAGCGCCCGGGGGCCACGCCGGGGCCGGCGGGCGCGTGCGTGGCCGCAGCTGCGCGGGCCGCTTCCCCGCGGCCCGAGGGGCGCGGGGCCGGCGGCGGGCGCGGTGGCGCGCGCGGGGCGACGCGGGAGGCGACCACCCAGGTGGCGCACGTTGTTTGGGGCCTGGCGGGGCGGGCGGGGGCCGGCGCGGGCGCGGCGCGGCGGGGGCGCTCACTTGTTGTACCGCACTCCCAATCTGGGGTGTTGCCCCGTCGCCTCGTACAGCTGGTCCTCCAGGTGCAGGACGTATTTGATGCACTCCTCGAGGAACGCGGCCGTGTTGGCGCGGTCGGCGTGCGGGACGATCTGCCGCAGGCGGTCCAGCCTGCGAGCGGGGGGACCGGGCGCCCTGGCGCGTGGGGGGCGGCCGGGCGGGGCGGCGGGGGCGCCGCGCGAGAGGTGCAGGCATCCGGTTGCAGGCGGCCCCACGCGGGCCCGTCGGCGCGGCGACGGGCCAGGTGTGCGCGCGCCGGCGCGCCGGGGGCAAAAATACGCGCGTAGTGCGCGCGCGGGACGCAGGACGCGGCCCGTCGCGCCGGGCAGGTGTGCCCACACGCGGAAACGGCTCTTCGGTTGGCCGCGCAGGGGCGCCCGCGCGGGGGGCGCGGGGCGCGGAATCATGGCGAAACCGTGGTCGTACCGCTCGTTGATGCGCGTGCGGCGGCGCTGCTCGGCGGCCTGGTGCCGGCTCGCGTAAGCGCTGCTGCTCTTGGAGTCGCCCGAGCGCGTCTGGCGTCCCCGCGCGGGGCGGCGCTGCTGCTCCTGCATCTGGAGCTGGTTCTGGAACTGCGAGTACGTGCCGACGGTGTTCTGGAGGTGCAGCGGCACGTGCGCCATGTGCGCGGCGTCGAGGGCCTGTGGGAGGCTCGGCGTGGGGAAGGGCGGCGCCTTCGACGTGCCGGGGCGGTCGTCGGTCAGGTGCGCCGCCTCGCTCAGCATCGCGAGGCTCGGGACCCCCTGGCCCCCCGCGAAGTGCCCGGCCATGCCGGTCGTGCCGCCTGCGGGCGCTGGCACCAAGGGACCAGCACACGGGGCAGCGCGCTCGGAGCGTGCAAGGGTGGCCCGCGTGGCGCAGCCGGGGCGAGCAGACGCTGTGCCGCGCCGCCGCGCGCGCGCCGCCCTCGGCCGCGCGCGGCCCCGGCGCGCCCGGGCCAACGTGGGGGCCTGCTGACCACCATGGGTGGGTGCCGGGCCGGGCCGCGCGCCGGGCGGGACGAGGGCGCGGCGGGCGGGGCGGGCGGGCACAGCGGCGCGGAGTGCGACCGGCGACGTGCTCGAGCGCGGGGCGGGCCACGGACCGAGTCTAGCGAGCGGGGCGGGACGCGCAGTGGGTGAGGGTCGTTCGAGCGCCGAGTGCGGCCTGGGGGCTGCGGGAGCGAGCCGCGCGGCCGAGGGGCCGAGGGTTAGTTGTGCGCCGCGCTGGCGTCCCGGGAGCGCGCGGGCAGGATGAGCTCGTCCTCCAACGTGCCGGTCGAACAGCCGTGCTCGATACCGGGGATGCGCCGGTGGCTCATTTGGAGGACTGTCTTCGAGGTCGACAACAAGTATGAGCCAATCAAAGCTATAGGTGCGCGCCCGCGACCCCGCGCGCCGCGCCGCGCCGCGAGCGCCCGCCTCGCGCGCCCGCTCGCTCGACCTCCAAGGCGAGGGCGACTTCCACCCAGCTCCGCCGCCGCACCCAGGCGCGTTCGCGGGCCCGCGGCGATCCCGGGGGCGCGCCCGGTGCTGCACCATCCGCGTCGGCGCGCCCCGGCGCCCGCGGGCGTCCCCGGCGCCGCCCCGCGCGCCCGTTTGGGGCGTTGCCCACCGGGTGCCAGCGTGTCGGCGCCGCGCGGGCTGCCACGGCCGCGCCGGGGCCCCGCGCTCCGCGACCGCCTCGCCGCGGTCCGGAGCATGCCCCTCGCCGCCGCGATCTCCAGCCTATCGCGGCCGAGAGCCGCGCACGCCCGCTCGGACGCGGTCCAGGCGTGGGCGGGCGCCCTGGGCGCGCGCGGGGCCGCTGCGAGCGCCGCCCTCGATCGCACGCCGCGTGCCTCGACCGCCGCCGCGCCCTGCGCCCGTCGCACGCACCGCTGGCGGCGTCCCGCGCGCGCGCCCCGGCAGGCCTGCCCGCCCAGCGGAGGGCCCCCGGGCGCCCCGGCGCGCGTCCCCGCCCCGCGCGACGGCGGTCCACTTCGCGCCCGCAGCTTGTCTCTGGGGATCCTCGGCCCGCCGCCGCACCCCGCTCCCCCGCACGCCGCCCCCCCGCCCCCCACCAGCGCCCGCCCCCTCTTCGCGCGCCCGCCCCCGCGCCCCGGCCGCCCCGCGACCCGACCGCGCCCCACCTCTTTAACCCCCCTCGCCGCAGGCAAGGGCGCGTACGGCGTGGTGTGCAGCGCGCGCGACAGCGTCACGGGGGAGAAGGTGGCCATCAAGAAGATCTCGAACGCGTTCGAGAACATCACCGACGCGACGCGCACGCTGCGCGAGATCCAGCTTCTGCGGCAGCTGCGGCACGAGAACATCATCCGCGTGAAGGACGTCCTCCGGCCGCCCAGCCGCGACGTGCTGGAGGACGTGTACGTGGTGTACGAGCTCATGGACACGGACCTGCACCAGATCATCCGGTCGCCGCAGCCGCTCACGGACGACCACTACCAGTACTTCCTCTGGCAGATCCTGCGCGGCCTCAAGTACGTCCACTCGGGCAACATCCTCCACCGGGACCTCAAGCCCAGCAACCTGCTGCTCAACGCCACCTGCGACCTCAAGCTGTGCGACTTCGGCCTCGCGCGCACGGGCGGCACCGCGAGCCAGTTCATGACCGAGTACGTCGTCACGCGCTGGTACCGCGCCCCCGAGCTCCTCCTCAGCCAGGAGCGCTACGGGCCCGCCATCGACGTCTGGTCCGTCGGGTGCATCCTCGGCGAGCTCCTCGGCCGCCGCCCGATGTTCCCGGGGAAGGACTACATCGAGCAGCTCAAGCTCATCATCTCCCGCCTCGGGTCCCCCTCGGAGGACGACCTCAGCTACATCACGTCGTCGCGCGCCCGCGAGTACATCCAGCGGCTGCCCAAGGCGCCGCCGCCGAACTTCGCGGAGCTCCTGCCCGGCGCCAGCGAGCAGGCGCTCGACCTCCTCGGCAAGATGCTGCAGTTCGACCCCCGGAAGCGCATCACCGTCGAGGAGGCGCTGCGGCACCCGTACCTCGAGCAGCTGCACGACGAGCAGTTCGAGCCGGACGCGCCCGCGAAGATCCAGTTCGACTTCAACGAGGAGGACGTGACCGAGAGCAACATCCGGGACTACGTCTGGCGCGAGATCGACCTCTACGCCGCCATGAACGCCGGCGAGAGCACGCCCAGCGCCGGGGCCGCGCCGTCGTAGGGGGCGTGCGCGGCGTGCGCGCGCGCCACGGGCAGGGGCGTTCGGAGGGGGGAGGGGAGCGGGGGTGGTGGCGCGCGCGCGGGCGGACGGCAGGGCACTCCGCTCGGGCCGGCAGGGATGGGCGTGCCGCGGGCCGCAGCGGCCGCGCGGGGACGCGGGCGAGCGGTCGTGTGACTTCTCACTCGAGCGAGCGCGTGACTTCCCGTCGCGAGTCTCTTTCTCACACTGCACTCGTCGCATCAGCATCAGTGTCACTGCTGCAGCGTCAACTGCACCCCCGCCGCCGTCAGGGGGGGGGTCGATCCCACGCTCGCGGACGCGCGGCCGTCCGCAGCTCGGGGCGCGGGACCAGCGGGCGGGGCTGCGCGCGGGGAGGGGGCCGTCCACTCCCCGGTTCGCGTGCACTCACTCAGGGGTGGGGGCGGCAGCGGGGCGCGGTCGGGCGCGCGGGACCCGGCGTCGGCGAGTCGTCGCGTTGTCGCGGCCCGACAGCTCGCGTCGCGTCTCAGCACCGGCCCTGGATGACCTCCATGCGCATGTTGTTCTCCGGCGGCAGGCCGACGCAGGCGCGCATGACGTTCTCGAGCATGGCCCTCTGGCGCGCGAGGGCGTTGACGACGGAGGCGCCGGGCGGCACGAGCGGCGCCTTGGTGAGGTAGCTGAGCAGCGCGCAGACGGGGTGCATGTGGTGGTACTCGGCCTCGTCCTCGCGCTTGAGCTGGATGCGCGTGGAGAGCTCGGCGAGGAGCACGAGGTCGAGGATGATGGGCGAGGCGAGGAGGGAGTCCTCGCAGGTGTTGTGCATCACGATGGTGTTCTTCCCGCCCATGAAGATCTCCGAGGTGTACTCGTCCATGGCGCGCTTCGAGTCGCCGACGTACGGGATGTACTTGATCACGACGAGGTGGTCCGGGTGCTCGCCCGGGGCGTACAGGATCTCGTTCGACTGCACCATGTCGTCGACCACGTTCGACTTGGTGATCTCCTTGGACCGGAACGTCTGCGGCGCCGACAGGTTGAGCCCGTCGTTGTTGCCCAGGTGGTTGTACGACACGATCGACGTCGGCTTCAGGCCCGCGCCGACGAGGAAGTCCACGAGCACCGACTTCATCTTCGTCTGCCCGGACTTGAAGTCGTCGCCGCCGATGAGCACCTTCTTCTGCATCGCGTACTCGATCAGCCCCGGGACGAACGTGTTCTGCGGGGCGCCGTTCACGAACGGCACGCCCTCGTTGATCGCCGCGATCGCGTACAGCGTCGACGGCGCGATCTCCGCCTCGTCGCGGTCGATCGCCGCCGACAGGTTGTCCCACGTGTCGTTCAGGCCCGCGGCCACCGACGCGAAGCGCTCCGTGTTCGCCGTCCACAGGATGACCACCTGCGGGAAAGACCAGGGCGAGGCGGGCGCGGGGGGCGTCGGAACGGGCCGGGAGGCGCGCCCAGGGGTGCGGAGGCGCGGGCCCGTGGCCCCTCGTCTGCCCTGGCCGCGCGGCGCGGGGCGGCCCGCGTCGGCCCGGGCGAGGTGACCCGCGCGCGCGCGCGTACGAGGCGCGAGCCATCGGTCCCCGCGACCCGATCCGCGCGGGCGCCGGTGGCGAGCGCCCGCCGCGCGGGGGAGGAGGGGCGCACCTTGTCGAGGCCGTGCTGGGCCTTGAAGTCGCGGATGTTCTTCTGCACCTCGGCGATCTGGTCCTTCTTGGAGCCCTTGATGATGTTGTTGGCGCGCGGGCCCTGGTTGGCGGCCACGAAGTTGTTGTCGAAGATGGCGGGCATGGGCACGATGTCCTTCATGTAGGGCACGAGCTGCTTCTGGAGCTCCCAGTCGAGGACCTGCGGGAGCGGCGGGGGGAGGGGGGCGGGCGCCGGGTGGGGGCGGGGGCGCGGGGCGCGGGGGCGGGGGCGCGGGGCGGCCTCGGGTGCGGGGAGGGGCTGGGGTGCTTCGGGTGGCGGCAGCGCGCGGCGGTGGGCGCTCGCGGGCGTGCGGCGCGCGCACCTGGGCCCGCTCCATGGCCTCGGCGAGGTTGGCGGAGGAGATGTCCCAGCCGCCGACGACGATGTCGGCGGGGTCGACCATGGGGAGGATGGACTTGAAGGGCGCGTAGACCTCCTCGCCGTTGTAGGTGCCGACGCGGACGGTCGCGGCCTGCGTGAGGCTGCCGTAGAAGTTGGGCTTCTTCAGCCCCTCCTTGGTCATCCACGTGATGCCCTCCTTGTTGGCGATCAGCCCAGCAGTGATGGTGGAGCCGTTGTTGCCTCCCAGCCCGACCTGCGCGGAGGTTGATGCGCGTCGCGATGCGTCAGAAGTTGATCGAGGAGCGCGGAAACGGCGCGGGGGGCCGTGGCGCGCGCGCCCACGCGCCGGCCCCCCTGGCCCGCGCATTGCCGTACAGTGCGCGCGTTCGCGTGGCGTATCGCGCCGTCGCTCGCCGACACATTGGGAACTCGTGGCGAAAATGGGCAGCGTCCGCGTCGGCCGGGCGAGGTTTCGCGCGCACGCGGCGCCCGCGGGCGGGGGGAAAGGCGTCGAGACACTTGCCAGCATCATGCCCATCTTCGGGACCTTGCGGTCCGTCTTGAGGTTGTACGTCGTGGCCGTCGGCTTCACCGTGACGTTGCCGTTCGGGCCGCGCTCCAGCTCCGTGCTCTGGTACACGTACCGGGTCTCGATGGCATCGTCCGTGTACTTCACGTCCGGGGACGCGACGGTGAAGCTCTCGATGTGCATGGTGTCTGGATTGGCGTCTGACGTTCCGCGGAGGGCAGGGAGTGCGCTCGGGGTGGCGCGCCGGGGCCCGATGGGCGCGGAAAGCCCGGGGGGGCCAATAAGAGGGACTGTAATTGCGCTGGAACGTTCGCGAGGCGCGTGGGACGCAGAACCCTTCGCGAATCCTCGCATCTGAGCATGAGGAGCGTCGAAACGCGCGGAGTTTTTGCGAATATCCTGCTCGCAGGCGACGGGAGGCCGCATGTGGGCGCTTCCGGCGCAGGTGGGGGGGAACGACGCGCGCTCCCGACGAATCGACCGCTTCGTAGCCCGAGTTTCAGCTCCCGGCCGGTTCCCCTGCTACTCGGTTACGCAGGAGGCCCGATTTGGGTGCGCCAGTCGGGCCAGGGGGGCTCCGGCACGCGAGCAACCACCAGCTGCGAAGCCTCCAGTCTCACGTCCAGTGTCCACTCGAACCGCTGCCGGAGCCCTCCCCCGGCGCCCTCGCGGCCGCCCGCACCGTCCGCCCGCGGGCCCGCGCCCCGCGCGACGTCGTCGGGCCGCGCGCGCGCCCCGACGCGACGCCGCGCACCGGTGCGTCGCCGCGTCGTGATGCCCCCCGGGGACCGACGCACGGCCGGGCTGGACCGCCGGGCGTACCAGGGCGCGGCGCGGCGGCGGGCGGCGGCACCTGCGCCCGCGAGAACGCACGTGATCGTTGCAGGGTGCGCTGCGAGGGCACCGCGGCGGCACGCAGACAGGGAGTGGCGCAGGAGGCGCCGGCACGGACGCGCGCCCCGGGCTCGAGAGCGGCGGTGCGGCGCGTCGGGGGCTGCTCAGATAGCGGGGCGTGCGGCGGGCGTCGCGGTTGGATCGTCGGGCGGGCAGCGGCCGCGCGGGAGCCGGGCGAGGCGTGTGCGCGCGGCAGTCGGTGGGAGGGCGCGTCCGCGGCGGCGGGATGGCGCAGGTGTTCGGGCGCCCTTGCCCGCCGGCGCGCTTGAGCTGCTGTCGTCTGGCGGGGCGCGCCAACGTCGCGGCGGGGAGGCGCCTCGCGCGCGTGGTGCGGGTGATGGCTGCCGCTCCTGGGGACGACCGCCTCACGCAGGCAGACATTGAGCACCTGCTCCGCGCGGCGCAGCTGTCGGACGAGAATGCAGGTGCGCTCCCAGCCCAGTCCGATCGCTCCGCGAACGCCGCGTGTCCGGCCGCCCACGGCCTCGCTCCCCGCGCCGGCACCGGCGAGCGCCGCGGGCGCCGTGTGCGTCGCCTGACGCCGTCGAGCCCCGCCGAGCGGCGTTCTGCAGGCATCACCGGCCCGCATCCCAACGCGGCGTGCGTCATCGTCGGGCCCGGCGGGGAGGTGGCGGGGAGCGCCAGCCAACGCGCCAACGGGGCGCCCAGCGCAGAGGTCCTCGCGACCCGCGCGGCGGACGGACAGGGCCAGGTACGCCAGCGAACGAACGACCCACTGCAATCGCACCGGTCGACACCGCCGCGCGCCCGCCCCCCTGCGCCCCTCGCGCCCCCCTCCATCAAGTCATCCACCCGCTGCGATCCCGCGCCGCCCGGGACGCGCACCGGACCCTGCCTGCCCCGAACGATGACCTGCGTATCCGAACGAGGCGCCGGCGTGCGAGACGGCGGCGCGGCCGCGGCGGGCGCCCCCGCGCGCGTCTCGGTGCAGCAACGTGCCGAGCGCCCCGTCCCGCGCGCGCTGCAGGGGGGCGTCGCGTACGTGAACCTGGAGCCCGGTGACTGCCACGGCGAGGCTGCGGCGGTGCGCGCGCTGCTGGCGTCCGGCGTGTCGCGCGTGGTCGTCGGCATGCGCCACCCCATGCGGCACTCGCGCGGGGAGGCCATCGCCGCCCTGCGCGGCGCGGGGCTCACCGTGTCGGTCCTGGGCGAGGCCGCCGTCGCGCCGGGCCTCGAGGGCGACGCCGCGGGCGCGCGGAAGAAGTGCCTGCGCGCGAACGAGGCGCTGTTGCTGCGCGCGTGGTCGGGGCGGCCCTTCTCGGTGCTCAAGTACGCGATGACGCTCGACGGGAAGATCGCGACGGCGAGCGGGCACGCGGCGTGGGTGTCGTCCGCGCAGTCCCGCGCGCAGGTGTTCGACCTGCGCGGGCGCTCGGCCGCGGTGATCGTCGGCGGCAACACCGTGCGGCGCGACAACCCGCGGCTGACGACGCGGCGCGAGGGCGGGCACTGCCCCGTGCGCATCGTGCTCTCGCGCACGCTCGACCTCCCGCGCGACGCGAACCTCTGGGACGTGACGCTCGCGCCCACCATCGTCATGACGCAGCGCGGGACGAGGAAGGACTTCCAGGAGGCGCTCCGGGCGCGCGGGGTCGAGGTCGTGGAGTTCGACTTCCTCACGCCCGGGCGCGTGTCGGACTACTGCACGGACCGCGGCTTCCTGCGCCTCCTGTGGGAGTGCGGGGGCACGCTGTCGGCGCCGGCCATCCAGTCCGGGGTGATCCACCGCGTGACGGCGTTCGTCGCGCCGAAGATCATCGGCGGGGACCGCGCGCCGACGCCGTGCGGCGACATGGGCTTCGTGGAGATGACGCAGGCGCTGCACCTGGTCGACACCGAGTGGGGGCAGGTCGGGCCCGACCTGAAGCTGACGGGGTACGTCGAGCCCGCGTGCCCGGGGCTGGAGGAAATCGACGCGCAGCTCGACGGCCCGGCGGAGGACAAGGGGCCCAACGCGCCGCTCAAGGCCCCCAAGGTGCGTCTCTCTCGCGTGCGCCTCCGCCTCGCTCGTGTCGCTGCAGCGCCGCCCCGTGCGACCGCGCCGCCGACCTGTGCGCGCGATCCGACTGCAGAGGCCCGGCGTGGTCGAGTTCTACAAGCCGTGGGACGCGAACGGCGCGCTGAACAACTTCACGCCGCACCCCATCACCATGCCCGCGGGGCCGGGGCCGGTGGAGCCCGGGTCGCCCGGGGACGAGGGGGCGCGGGAGTGGCCGTCGGTGGAGCACTACTACCAGGCGCAGAAGTTCGCGGGCGTCGCGGCGGCGGAGGAGCTGGTGGAGCAGATCTGGGCGGCGTACAGCCCCGAGGAGGCGGCGCGGATCGGGCGGGCCGCGCAGCGCTCGAAGCCGGAGCTGATGCGGGAGGACTGGTTTGACAAGCAGGTGCGGGAGCTTGCCGCTGGCGCTGCCTGGCGCGGGTGTGTGTGTGTGTGTGTGTGCTGTTGGCGTTGCATGTGGTGGGTGCGCTTGCTCGCGGGGCGACGTGGCGTGTGGGTGGCGTGCGGTGCAGCTGGACATCATGTACTCGGCGCTGCGCGCGAAGTACGCGACCCACGAGGACCCGCGGAAGCTCCTGCTGTCGACCGGGACGGCGACGCTGGTGGAGGCCTCGCCGCACGACTTCTTCTGGGGCCGCGGACGCGACGGGAGCGGCAAGAACATGCTGGGCACGCTGCTGATGAGGCTGCGCGGGGAGCTGGGGGGCAGCTGAGTGCGGCGGCCGGGCTGTGAGACCTGGTGATGCGTCACCCCTGCATGGTGCCGCGGTGACGCGCGTGCACCTCGCACGTGTGCGGGCCGCAGACTGGCTCCGGGCGCCCGCTCGCCGCGGACGGACTTGGGGCTCCCTGCTCTGCGTTGGTGCGTCGGTGTCGCTGGGGACCGCAGAGGGGGTGCGTGGGCGCGTGGCGCTCTGTGCTGATCGAGCGCTGATGCGCGCAGTGCAGCGTGGTAGCGGGACGGGGTCGCAGGACGGGCTGGGCCACGCACATACTCCTGCGCACCACCCGCTGCGCCGCCCCGGCGTGTGATGCGTCGCACAACTGGGGGTGCTGCGGGCGCGACGGAAGCGCGAAGCACGCGGCGAGCCTGCTGCGCAGGAGCCGCACGGCGCGTCACCGGCGGCGCAGGGGCGGCGCTCGCCCGCGAGCGGGTGAGTTCGCGCGGCCAGAGCCCATCGAGGCCCCCGGGGAGTGCCCCACCGTGCGCGCACGGCCCGCGGCCCCGCCGTCTTCGCAAGGGATGCCGGCGATTACGACCGGGCTGGCCTTTTGCGTCATCGGGGTCCGGCCCGGGCAGCCACGCACTCGAGCGCAGGAGCGACTGTCGCAGCCGGCTCGCCCCGTGGGCCGACTGCTGAAACGGGATGCCGCCGTCGTGCGCCCATCGCGCGACAGACGCGTTGCTTCGGTTGCGGGGGCTGCCCTTGCCTACTTCCGCCGATGTGCGCGGCGGCCCGTGTCGTTCGACGCCCGACCTCCGCGTCTGCGCGGGTGTCGTGAGCGGGCCCTTCAGGTGGGGGAAACGGCGCCGGGGGCGTGAGGGTCGAGGGGAGTGTGCGCCGCGGGGCTGTATTCCGGGCGGGACAGATCGCGAGCGCGGCGTTCGCGGCGTCGCCCGTGAGATTATGACGATCTGCGCGCCCCGACGGCGCGGTGTGTCGGCCGGGCGCAGAAGATCACAAGAGCGCGCGCCGGAGGTGCCCGCGGGCCGCGAAAAGGCGCCCGCACGGGGCGCGCAGCCGCAAGGCGTCCGTTCGCGCTCGCTCACCCGGGCACGGAGCGCTTCGACGTCCACCGACCACGTTCCTCCGTGTCACTGGAGGCAATCCTGGCTCGCCGAAACACGTTGGTCACATGGGCGGCGCTCGCGCCCTCGTGGCGGCCCCTGAGCCGCCCGCAGTGGGCCTGAGGCGTCCGTCCTGACGTAGCGCGCCGCACCGGGGTGCCGACATCCGCCCCGGGCGACGCGTGACATGCAGCGGGTCGATTAGCTGCATGCCAGTGTGTCCGCAGCGCGGGCCGCGGTGACGTGGGAGCAGCGCAAACGCCACGGATTTCGCATCTCATCCCGATATCAGCCTCCCCAACGTACGAGAGAAGTCGCGGGGCAGCAGGCAGGCCGAGCTGGCGGGCCCTGCTTGTTGGTGAGGCGGCAACCTTCACTGGGACCGCGGAGAGCGGCGCGCACCCCGGTCCTCCGTGCGCGCTGTCGCGCGAGGCGGGCCTCCTGATATCAGAGACGCCTAAAATGCGGCTGGAAGGTTTTTTACAGCCAGACTCCCTGCTGCCGGTAGCGATGCGAGGCCTCCTCTGGCCAGAGTCCGACTGATTTCCAGGCGCGCTGGCCTCATGCCGCCGCCAGCGCGGCCTCCCGTGGCACAATCGGTCACTCGGGTCGTCCTCGTTCCGTAGGTGAGTGTTGCGAACTGTTTGCCGCCTGCACGAGGGCACGGTCGCAGTGAGTGTTGCACTGGGTGCTCGAGCTGCCGTCCTCCTGCTCGACCGTGCGCTATTCTGGCCATCCCGCGTCGTCACGGCGCTCGTTGGTGTTTCGACTGCGACATGCGCGCTGTGCGTTCCGCGGAGGCGCCCCACACGCGCCGCACGGGCCGGCCTCGGAAACCTCGTTTGAGCTCGCCCGGCCTCACGGCGCGTGCTTTCGCCCCCCTGTGCCCTCCGCAGCTCTCTATACTTCAAGATGTCTGGCAAGGGTGCGAAGGGCCTCTCCGGCAAGGGTGCCAAGGGCACCATGGGCGGTGCGGGCAAGGCCAAGGGAGGCGACAAGAAGAAGCCCGTCTCCCGGTCCGCTCGCGCGGGCCTCCAGTTCCCCGTGGGTCGTATCCACCGTCTCCTTAAGGTAAGTTTCGGATTTTCCGGGCGGAATCCGCCGTCGTGCCCCGCGCGCCCCGCCGCGGGGTTCAAAATTTGGCCCAGGCCAGCTGACACGCCCGCGTTCGAACTCCTCTGCGCGTCCCGCCCGCGCGCCCCCGGCGACCAGCGGCCCGTCCACGGACCGGCGCCGCGGCGAGCGCGCGCCCCTGCCGCCGGCACCCCGCCCGGAGCGCTCACCTCACCAACCGCCTCCGCCGCTGCAGGGCATGGTGACGGCCAACGGCCGCGTGGGTGCCACCGCCGCGGTGTACACGGCGGCCATCCTCGAGTACCTCACCGCCGAGGTGCTGGAGCTGGCCGGGAACGCGTCGAAGGACCTCAAGGTGAAGCGTATCACCCCGCGCCACTTGCAGCTCGCCATTCGCGGTGACGAGGAGCTCGACACGCTCATCAAGGCCACCATCCGCGGCGGCGGCGTCATCCCGCACATCCACAAGTCGCTCATCAACAAGCAGGCCAAGAAGGAGGGTCTGAACTAAGCGTCAGAGCGACCTGGTTCCTCCCGCCCTGTACATTGGCCCATCCCCGCCCCCCCACGGCTCCCCGGCCGCGATGTGAAGCAATCCCCCCGCACCGACGTCACCGCCGCGGACAGGCGCCGCCGCCAGCGCGCCCGAACCGCCGTCCTCGCCGCGCCCAGGGTGCCGTAGCGGCCCGGGTTTGAAAATTGCCACGGGCAGCTGCTGCGCGCCACCGCGGAAGTCGCGCCGCCGCGGGGCGCGCCGCGCACCAGCCGCGCCCCAGCGCTCCCACTGAGCCGCGGCGCGCGCTCCGCTCGCGGTCCTCGGCCGTCCACCGACCGCCGGCCGGCATGGGTGCAGCATCGGCGCCGCGCCAACGAGGTGGCGCGCCACGGGGGGCCCCGCCGCCCCAAACCGACGCCTGGCGCGCGCTCCGGCGTCCGGACGACCGGAGCGTGGGCCTGGTCGCGAGGCGCGGGCGTGGGCGGCCGCGCGTGACGCGGTGCGGGCGGGTGCTCAGACGGGCAGCAGCGAGGTTGCATGCCGGCCGTGGCCGCGCGCGAGGCCGGCAGCGCGCCGAGCGTCTCACATTTCGAGCGGCTATCATTCTGTTCCTTGCGTTGCGGGACGCGCGCTCCCCCTCGCGCCCTCGCCGACTCAGAGTCCGCGCAACAGCGTCCTCACCTGGTTGGGCACCTTCTCGAGGTCCGTCATGCCGTCGCCCGCCTCCTGGCCGTGGCTCAGCCGCTCCATCATCAGCAGGCCGCTCCGCTGGTCGCCGTCGCGCCCCACGAGCGCCTCGAGGGTCCACGCCCACCCGATCCTCACCTCCCAGCTGGGCTGCGTGGTCGCCGGGATCGCCCCCTCCGCGCCCGGGTGCGTCACGAACGGGCAGAACGGCCTGTGCGACCCCAGCGGGTCGAACACGCCGCCGGGCGACGCTCCTGCGCCCACGCGCGCGCGCTTCGAGGGGCTGGGCCCGGCGCCCGGCGCGGCCCCTGCCCCGTCCGGCGAACCGCCCGGAGGACGCTTTCGGTTCCCCGCGGACGCCGGCGTGCCGAACGCTGGCGCCGGGCTCCCGCCTCCGAACACGTTCGGGAGCGCCCCGCCGGCGCCGCTGCGCGGGCACTCGCCCCCCGCGATGGTCTGCGTGAGGTCCGGCAGCAGCATCGGCGTGTGCACGCGGGGCTCGTGCGCGGACGCGCGCCGCGTGGCCGCGCTCGACGCGGAGGGCTGGGATCCGAGGACGCCCGTGGAGCACCGCGCGCCGCACGTGTCGCACGCGAGGACCACCCTGCAGGGGAGGGGGCGCGCCGGGGGTCGGAGGCGGGGCGCGGGGCGCGCGCGCGGGGGGGGGGCGCGGGCGCACGGGCGGGCGTGCGGGCGGGCGGGCGCAGCGGCGCGGGTTTCGAGGCCAATACACGGCGCGCAGGGAGGGCGCGGGCGGGGGGCGCGCACGGGTCGTGATCGGGCCGTGACGCGCGGGGCGCGCACCTCGGAGCCTGCGTCTGGTCCACGCGCCAGCCGCACGTCGCGAACAGGCGCGCGCGGCTCTCCAGCGTGGCGTTCAGCTCCGACAGCGTGGGCGGGCCCTGCGCCTGCTGCGCCTGCTGCGCCTGCTGCGCCTGCTGCGCCGCAGACGGAACCTCCGCCGGATCGCCTGCGGGCGGGGCGGCCGTGCGGGGCGTGCTGCGTGTTCTCGCCAGGCGGGCGCGGCGGGCGCGGCGGCACGAGCACGCGGCATGGTGTGGCATCGCGACGAGGGGAAGGCGGCGCTCGCGTACCCGCGCCAGTGCCGCCGTCGACCATGGGGACGCGGGGTCCGCGGCGCAGGAGCGCGCCCAGCAGGTTGGCGTGCGTCTTGCAGATGCGGTCCAGGGCCGGGGCTGCCACGACCGGGAGGGCCCCGGCGGCGACGAGGCCGTCGTGTCGCTCGGTGTAGGCCTGCAGGGACACGGCGGAGCGCTCCGGCCGCGCGCGTGAGGTGCCGCGCCGTGACGTGCGGCCGGGGGAGGCGGCAATGTGCATGCGTCGCCCACCTTGAACACCGGTCCCCGCTCCAGCGGGGGGAACGCCGCCAGCTGCAGCTTGCAGGTCTTCCCCTGCCACGAACACTCCTCCTCGTGCGCCTCGTCCAGCCTGGCCACGAACTTCTCCGCCAGCGCGGCGCCCTCCTTGAAGCTAAGGTTTGGGGACAGGCGCAGCTCCCGGCGCGCCAGGCACTCCTCGCACTCCAGCGTGTCCACGTCTGCGCCTCAGAGGGATAGAGGGGGCGGTTGAGCGCCCGGACCGCATCGCAGCGGCGCCCGGCGGCCCCCAGGGCCGCTCGCAAGCGGCTGCTGCTGGCTTGTCGCAGCGTGTCGCGACCGCCAGACCGGCCGCGGCGGGTGGCCGGCACGCACGGAACCTCCTTGCTCTAGGAGCGCCGAAGAGCTGCGCGCCCGCCCGCGTGGCGCCCCCACGGCCCGACACGCGCATGTCGTTCGTGCAGCCCACCACGCAACTGTGCGTGTTCGCGCGGCTCGCGCGGGGTGCCACCGCGGCCTCCCGCGCGCGAACCGCCCTAACTCGGTCCCGCTGGCCGCAGGACCGCCTCGGCCCCGCTCCGCCGCGGCCCCGCCCGCGCACCTCTGCACCTCCATCCCCGTCGCGCACACTCCAGCGGGGAGGCCGCCGCGGGCTTGCAGAACCACTTCTGGGCCGTGTAGGTCCTCAGGCGCCGCATGAGGTCCTCGCGGTCCCACGGCCTGCACTGGTGCCCGCCGTCGTCCGCCCCTCCGCCCGCCCCCTCCCCGCCGAGCCCCTCCAGGAACACCAAACTGTCCAGCGCCCTCCGCGCCCGCAGCAGCGGGTCGCTCATCGCGCGGCAACCCTACCGACCGCTCCCAGCGCCCCCTTGGCGCCGGACCGCCGCACCGCCCGCGGCCGCTCCGGGACGCCGGCCCCACTGCAGGTGGTTGGCGGGCAGCACACGCAACCGACGCGCTGGCGACGCTGCGAGGTGTCCGCAGGGGACAGATGAGCCGTGCGCGGCCGGATCGGAGGCGGAGTGCTCTGCGGGAACGCGCCGGGCTCCGCGCGGCAACGAGGACGCCGCTGTCGGCCATGGAGAGACTGCACCAGGGGTGTCCCGCGCCGACACGTGTGGCGTGGCGCGCACGGGGAGGCAGGGCGCGCCGCGCGGTCGCGGCGCACGCCCCCCGCGGCGAGTGTCCGCCACGCCCGCGCGGGGCGCCTGGGTGGCCCGGGAGCGCGCACCGCCGCCGACAGCCACGCCCGCGCCAGGAGCGGCGCATGCACACACAGCCGACGCGACGCGACGGTCCGTTCCGTCACACAGGCGCGCCGCCCGCCGCCAACCCTCGCCCTACGACCCCCGCGTCAGCTCCCGCCCGTCCCCCGCGCCTCGCACCGCGGCGCCCCCCACCGCCTCCACCCCTTCGCGCTCCCTCTCGTACGCCAGCATGCGCTCGACCAGCACGTTCTTCAGCCCGCTCACGGGCAGCCCGCGGTCCCGCAGCAGCGGCCGCAGCGACCGTATCGGCATCGCCCGCAGCTGCTCCCGCCGCTCCGCCTCCTCCCCGCGCCGCGCCTCCTCCTCCGCCTCCGCGCTCGCGACGGGGGCGCGCGCGGGGCCCTGCGCGGCCCCGTCGCCGCCCTCCGCGCGCGCCGCCGTGCCCGCGGCCACGTCGCCCAGCGCGCGCTTGCACAGCACCAGCATCTGCTCGCTGCTGATGTCCGCGCCCCAGTAGGGCTGCAGCGCGTCCGCGAGCTGCCCGATGCCCATCGACGACGCGGCCCCCGCCTCCTCCGGGGTCAGCGTCGCGCCGGCGGCCGTCAGCGCCTCCGCGAGGGAGCCGCGCGGAGCCCCGGGCGGGCTCTGCGCGGGTGCTGGTGTGTGCGTGCCGTTCCGCACCGCGACGCCCGCGGCCGCGAGCCGCGTGGCGAGCAGCTCGGCCTGCGCGTGCGGGTCGTCCTTGGGCCACTCGTAGTGCGGGATGGAGAGCACGTGCCACCCGCACGCGCGCGTGACCCGCCGCGAGAGCAGCGTGCTCCCCAGGGGCTGCGCGGTGTTGCGGGTGAAGTGGCTGGGCCCGTCGACCTCGACCGCGAGCCGCACGTCGCCCTGCTCGATCGCGACGTCGATGTACTTGAGCCCGTCCTCGACCGTCCGCTCGTTCACGTGCGGCACGCCCAGCCGCGCCAGCGCCAGCGACACGTCGAGGTGGAACGCGGAGAGCGACACGTGGCACACGTACTCCCGCCAGTCGCGCCACAGGTTCCGCAGGAGGTCGAGCGGGAGCTGCGGGCCCCCGCGCGCCCCCTGCGACCGCGCCTCGAGCCGCGCGGTGATGATGGCCTGGAACAGCTGGCTCTTGGCCTCCGTCGAGAGGTCGCCGTAGCGCTCGCGGGCCGCGGGGCTGGCCGCGAGCCGCGCGGCGAGGTCCCCGAAGAGCGGCAGCGCGGTGCCCTGCAGGACGGCGAGCGCCCACATGACCTTGCTCCACTGCTGCTCGTCCATGTCGGCCGCGCGCGCCGAGAGGCCCGCGCAGATCTCCGCGAGCGCGCGCTGCCCCGGGTGGTGCGCGAGCTTCGCCAGCGCCCACAGCACCTCGACCAGCTCCAGCACCTTGACGCCCTGCGCGCGCTCGACGGTGAGCTCCACGAAGGCGTCGAGCGCGCCCTTGTCGTAGTGCCGCAGCGTGGCGAGCGACCACAGCGCGTTCGCCGTCGTCTGCTCGTCCGTCTCCCCGCGCGCCGCCCGCGCCGCGAACTCCGCGCACAGGCACTCGAGCAGGTCCGCGCGCGCCAGGTCGAGGCGCGCCGCCGTGAGCAGCACGTGCGAGAGCTCCTGCGACCGGAAGTCGGCCGCGCGCCGCAGGACCTGGTCCGTGAGCGCGCGCAGGGCCCGCGCGTCGCGGTACCCGAGCGCGGAGAAGGCCCACATGGTGTTGGACACCGCCTGCGGCTCGAACACGCGCGCGCGCTCGGCGACCTCCGCGGCGAGCACGCCGAAGAGCTCGTCGTCGCGCACGTCGAGCGTCGCGAACCCCCACGCCAGGTTGGACATGGCCTGCGGGGCGAACCCCCGCATGTCGCGCCGCGCCACCTCCCGCGCCACCGCCCGCATCGCGCCCGCGTCCCTCCACCCCATCGTCGCCAGCGCCCACACCACGTTCGCCAGCTCCTGCTGCCCGCACTCCCCGACCTTGCCCCGCAGCGCCCCCAGCACGTCCTCCACCACGCGCGCGTCGTCGTCGTCGCGCTCCCCCCACCCCAGCGCCGCGAGGCCCCACAGGATGTTCGACAGCTGCCGCTCCGACATCGCCGGCGCGCGCCGCCGCACGTGCCCCAGCAGCCGCGCGAACACCGGGTCCGACCGCACCGTCCGCCCCGCCCGCCGCGGCCGCGCCAGCTTCCCCAGCCGGTGCAGCGCCGTGGCCACGTTCACCTCGTCGAACCCGTCCATGTGCTGCGCCGCCACCTCCAGCACGTCCTCCCACCGCCGCGCCCGCGTCATCGCCTTGTTCACGCGCACCTGCTCGTACAGGTCGGGCCGCTTCAGCGCCAGCGCCGCGTCGCGGTCCCGCGTGCGCAGCCGGGAGCCGCGCCCCGCGCGCGACCGACCCGGACCGCCCGCTGCGGGCCCCCGCGCCCGGGCCCGCCCCTGCGGGCGCCCTGCGGGGACGCTGCGCGCTGGCGCAGCGCGTCAGGAGGGGGGTCCGGACTGGTGGACGCGGCCGGGCGGGGCGGCCGCGGCGTGCCCTGCGCCGGGCCCCTCGACTTCCAGACATGCCGCTGCGGCGGCTGAACGAGCTTGCGGAGGCGCCAGGTGGCGGGTACGCTGGCCGTGTGGTGGTGCAGGTGCGCTGGTGGTGGCGTCCGCGCCGCCGACACGCAGCCGCGCGCGGACGCAGAGTGCGACGGACAGAGAGGGTGCATCGCGCCGGCCGTCCTGCGCGCCGCACGCGTCCGCGCGGGTGCCACTCGCGCCGCGGGATTCCCAGGCTGCCGGGGTCCAAAGGGGCGCCCTGCGGTGGGGAACGCGCGCGGCGCAGGTCAGCGGACGGGACAGCTCCGCCCTCAATCGTCGGCGTGGGAGTCAGTTGGAGCGGGGGGCGCGCCCGGTCCGGCGCAGCGGCGCGTGCACTCCGGGGCGGGGGCAGGCGACGCTTCGCGACGTGCCCACGCCACGGTTGCGATCGACGGACGGCCGAAACGCGGGCTCTGCTCGCCCTCGTGCGTCCGGGCGCACCTCGCCGTCGGACAGGTCCTACGCGCACCGCCAGCGCATCCCCCTCGCCCTGGATCCCACCCGCTCCCGTGCGGCCGCTGCGTCGCGCGAAACACGCTTCCGCGGACCCAGGAGGCACGCCGTCTGCGGCACCCGCGCGGCGCGGCGCCCCAGAGCGGCCCGCTCTGCGTCCCGGCGGCCCACGCGCGCCAGTCGCACGCGGACCTGACGCGGTCTCTCTCCGCCCCGCCGCGCGCGTCCGCGGCCCCATCGGCCCGGCGGGGCGTCGCGGGCGCGCCACCCTGCGCACCGGCACACGCGGCTCGACCGTCCAGCTCCGTTCCGCGCGCCCCGTCGCCCCGCTGCGCCCCACCATGGCCATGCAGGGCTCCCTCCGCCCTGCGCGCGCCCCGCGTGCCCGCGGCCCGACCGCGCGGCCGCCGCGAGGCCCACCTCGACGGCACCGTCGCGTGCGCCGCGCGCCCCCGCGCGCCCACCCGGCCGCGGGGCGCTGCCGCCGGCCGGTGGCCACGCGGGCGGCCTACGAGCCGGGCTCCGAGTCGGGCTCCGACGTGGACCGCCAGCTGTTCGAGCTGTACCGCGATGGACAGGCGACCGACCGGATCAGGGAGTTCTTCGCTGGGGAGCGCTCGACGCGCAGGAGGAAGGCGTCGGTGCGGGGAAGGTGAGGCCCTCAACCGCCACGCCAGCGCCACGCGCGGGACCGCGGCGTGCGGCGCGCGGGGCCGCGCCGGGGCGGGCGCGCGCCTCCGTCCGTGCGAGGCGCCGCGCCGCGCGGAATCTTGCGCCCGGAGCGGCTCTGCGCGGGGGCGCGCGGCGGCCGCCAGGCTGGCGGTGTGCCGGCACGGTGTTCGCGCGGGGGCCTTCCCGGCCGCAGCGCGCCCGGTTCGCGCACGTCCGGGCCACTTCCGGTCCACGTCGTGCGTTCGACGCCGTTGTGACGCGCCGCGCGGGCTGCGTCGACCGGCCCGGGCCGCCTGGAAGGCCCCTCGCTGGCCAGGCAACGACCCGCGCGCCGCGGGCCCTCCCGCGCCGCGTTCCCCGCGCGCGCCGTCGTGTTCGCCTGCTGCGCTCCTCAGCGCGCCCGCCCGCCCGCCCGCAACGCAGCAAGGTCGTCGACCACGAGTCGCTGCGGCACGCCAAGGAGGACCTGTCGGACTTCTGCGCCTCGCTGCCCGCGAACGAGGAGGCCGACACGTGCTGGATCGGATACAACCACCTCGACGCGGAGATCCGCCAGCTCGACGCCGAGGTGCGCCGCGCGGCTTTCGCGACGCGCACGCGCTCGCCCCCGCCCCGCTGCAACCGCCGCCGCCGCCGGTGGTTGGTCGGCCGCGCGCCCACCGCGGCCCGCGCGCCCGCCGCGCCCCGCAGGACCCGACGGTCGCGAAGGCGAAGCTGGACCGGCTGGAGGACATGGTGACGGAGGTGCAGCCGATGGGGCTGCCGAACCTGGCCAAGATGCTGGCCACGCTGGCCAAGGCGTCGCGGCGGGCGGCGATGGCGTCCGCGCGGGGCTCGCTCGCGGCGGGGGCGGCGGCGCTGGAGACGGAGGACCTGATGGAGGAGTTCGTGCACAACAAGGACGCGCGCCTGGCGCTCATGGAGCAGCTGTTCAGCGAGTTTGACGCCAACCACGACGGCAAGATCAGCGTGCGCGAGTTCCGCGAGCTCAGCAAGGCGGTCGGCATGCCGCTCGACACGCAGGACATCTTCATCATCTACGACTTCTTCGGCATCGAGGGCGGGAAGGCCGGCTTCGACGAGTTCCTGGAGATCATGAGCGTCGGCGAGGACATGGGCGAGGGGCACACCGTGCTCCCGAAGAACCTCCCGCGCCTCGCCAAGGGCCTGCACTCCGAGCACTGGCTCGGCCACCAGGCGCCCGTCCCCACCACCGCGGGCCCCAAGCTGCCCGACCCCGTGATCCCGCAGCCCGCGCCCAAGCCCGACGTGCCCTCCACGCGGCCCCCCACCGGCGCGCCGCGCCTCTGGGACCAGAAGCTCTGGCCCTACAACTGAGCGCGCCCGCGCAGCCGAGCGCGCCCCCGACGCGCGCCACCTAGCGACCACCTCGCGCCACTACTGCTGCTGCTGCGACGCGCGCGCGCACGGATACACGCAGCGCCCGCGGGCGCCGCCCCTGTGAGCCGCAAGTGACCGAGGGGCGCGCATCGCGCACGGCGCGCGCGTGAGCACGCGGGCACTGTTGGCGCTGTTGGTCACAGTCAGTGCCTGCGGTGCGGTCACTCGACCTCGCGGAGGTAGTCGGAGACCTCGGCGGGCGTGAGGACGCGGAACTTCCGGTCCTCGCCGACCACGCCGACCTCGACGTTGTGCCCCGTGAGCTCCCCCTCGAACCCCTCCTTGAGCGTCAGCAGCGCCGTGTGGATGGCGTCCTCGAGCTCCACGTCGTCGCTGTACCGCTTCTCGAGGAAGGCCTTGGCGTTCACCATGTTCTTCCCGATCGCGCTCGCCTTCCACGCGAAGTACGCCCCCGACGGGTCGATCTGGTACAGCTGGCTCCCGTGGTCGTCGTACCCCGCGAGCAGGAGACTCACGCCGAACGGACGGACGCCGCCCTGCTGCGTGAATTCCTGCATCACCGCGGCCGTCTCGCGCACCAGCTGCGCGACGGGGATGTCCTCGTTGTACGTGCGGTGGTAGACCGCGGCCGACTTGCGCGACTTGCGCACCAGCACGCGCGCGTCGGGGCCCATGCCGCTGTACGCGACGCCGATGTTCGGCGACAGCACGGAGATCTTCTCCACCGTGCCCTCGTCCACCAGCGGCGACGGCAGCTTCTTCTCCGTCGCAATCACCACGCCGCCGCGCGCGCGGATGCCCAGCGACGTCGCGCCGCCGTTCACCGCCGCCAGCGCGTGCTCGATCTGGCCGAGCTTGCCGCTGGGACTAAAGGTCGTGAGGGAGAAGGAGTACTGCGACCGGGGGCGCGGGCGCGGGGTGCTCGTGTGGGCCTGGGGGCGCGCGCGTTCTTGCGCGCGCGGGGTGCGGGTGTGGGCGGCGTGAGAGCGAGCTGGCGCCGCGTGGCCCGGGACGCGGTCGGTTCGCGGTCAGCCGGCGCGCTGGCGCCAGGCGCGAGGGAGGTTGGCAGCCGAGCGGGCCCCCAGGGTCGGGGAGGCGCCGAAGCGGGGAGGACGTGCCGCGACGGTTGCACCGTGGATCTGGCTTGCGGGGATCGCGTTGCACGGGAGCGCGAGACGCGGCGCACACGCGGCGGGCGGGCCCGGGTGTGCTTTCGGCAACCAGCGCGCAGCGAAGCGCGCCCTGACGGACGCAGGCGCGCGGGCCCGCGCCGCGAAAGCAAGATCGCTGTCGCGAGCGGTGCGATGGCGATGCAGGCCGCGGGTATCGCGCGCGGCCCGGCCCGGGGCAGCAAGCGAGACGCTGCCGTGGGTTGCTCACCGCCGAGTCTCCCATGACGGACTACGCTAGCGACCTCTCTCGCTGCAGCTCTGTGCGACCGCCGTGCGGAACGGCTGCCTGGGCTGCGAGGGCGTCCTCCTCGATCTCCGGACGGACCAGCGGACCCGAAGCGACCTCCGTAGCACCACGCGCTCTGCGCCCGCGCCGAGGTCGCGATAACGCGAGGCACTTGGGCGGGGGATGGACGCTGGGAACTAGGTGGGATCGACGGTGCCCCGGGGCCCTGCTCTGGAGGCCTCGAGACGGCCGCTTCCGGAGCAAGCGGTGCGCTGCTCTGCGGGGGGCTCGTGCCGCACAGGGACGCTATGAACACTGCGCTCAGCTGCGGGAGGCGTTCGGCAGACAGGTACAGCGTGCGTGTGACGCGCGGAGGCGGGGCGCGGGGGCGATGTGACAGAGAGCGGGCGCCAGACTGACCGTCTCCGAACCAGGGCCCTCCCGCGCAGGCACAATGCCGCAGCGCGCCGTCGCCCTCGGTCATGCGTTTCGTTCCATTAGAAAAGGGCATTCGGACAGCAGCGGATCGCCTCGCGCGTCCCAGCCTGGAGAGGCGGACTGTACACGAGACCTGGCATCGACTGGCAGGCACTGCGCTTGGACAGCGGACGCTGCGCCCGCAGGGGCTCTAGTTCACCGGGCCGGGACCGCACATAGGGACGTGTTCGTCATGTCCGACGCCGAACAGCCGGCTCCTGCCCCCGAGGAGCAGCAGGCGGAGGAACAGCCCGCTGAGCCTGTTGCCGAGGCCGCCGCGGAGGACGAGGCGGCCGAGCCGGCGCCCGAGGGCGGCGACGAGCCCGCGGGTGGAGAGGAGGCGCCCGCGGACGCGCCCGCGGAGGAGGCGCCCCCCGCGCAGGACGAGGAGGCGCCCGTTGACACACCCGCGCAGGTAGGCACAGATGCAGCGCCCGCACGCGCGCGGGGGGGCGCGAGGACGCCCGTGCCCGCCGCGGACCCCGAGCTCCGGCGGCCAGCTGTGCCGCGCTCGCCAGAAACGCGCGTGCGAGCCCCCGCCGCGCGCGCGGGGCGCCCCGGAGCGAAACGTGGGTCCTGTGTCCGTGGGGGCGACGCGCACGGCCCCGCGCTGGACACAGGCGCGCCGAACGCCCTCCCAGCGGCCCACTCCGCCCCTGCTCCGTCCGCCCGCCCCCCGCAGGACGCGCCGGAGGAGCCCGAGGCGGCCGCAGAGCCCGAGGCAGGCGACGGTGCGGAGGATGCGGAGCCCGAGGCGGCCGACGCGGCGGACCAGACGGACGAGCCCGCGGCGGACGACGCCGTGGACCAGGGGGACGAGCCCGCGGCGGGCGACGCGGCGGGCGGGGCTGACGCGCCCGCGGAGGACGGCGGGGCGAGCCCGGCAGAGGAGGCCGGGGGGGACGACGAGCTCGCGTTCGAGCGGCCGATGGTGAGCGTGGCGTCGCAGGAGGAGGAGGAGGACGGCGAGGAGGGCGGCGGGCAGGTGATGGCGATGTGCACGGCGCCGCAGCGGGGCCTGGAGGCGCTGCTGGAGCTCACGTCGCGCAGCACGGGCAAGGACATCGCGGTGAAGTTCGCGGAGGAGTTCGACCTGCACTGGGAGGACATCGTGGTCAAGTACGGCAACCTGATCGTGCACCACGACGACTCGATCTCCGAGGTGGGCGTCGCCGCGGGGGACGGCGTGGAGTTCGAGCTCCACCTGCGGCAGACGCGCATCCCCGAGGCGCACCCCGCCGTCGGACGCATCGCCGGCGTCGAGGTGAGCCCACGCGCCACGCCCGCCGCGCCGCGCCACGCCACGCCACGCCACGCCACGCTAGCCCGCGACGCCCCCGCACGAGTGTGTGTGCGTGTGTGGTTGTGGGCGCGACGCGGTGTTTCGCGGCTGGCCGGTGTTTGCAGGTGATCGAGGTAGAGATGGCGCCCGCGCGCGGCGAGGACGGCGCGGTGGTGGCGCACGGGCGCACGATCCGCGTGGTGATGGACTGGCGGGAGCAGGAGCGGCGCAAGTACTTGGGCGGGTACCGGCACAAGAAGACGGGGGCGGTGTACCACCACGCGTCGGCGCAGACGCGGCGCGTGGCGAAGTGGACGGAGGCGGACCGCAAGCTCACGCGCGAGACGCAGACCAAGGAGACGCGGACGCGCGGGCGCGGGCAGACCACGCGCGAGCACGGGACGCAGATGGCGCGCCCGGACGTGTACGTGGACGGCGCGCGCGACGTGATCATGGTCCCGCGGCCCTGGCGCGACGGGCAGCCGTACCAGACCGCCGCGGAGCTGATGGAGGTGAAGAAGGAGAAGGCGCTGGTCATCCAGCGGTTCTGGCGCGGGCACCTGGGGCGGAAGCGGGCCGCCGCGGAGCGCCACAAGCGGGACGAGGCCGCGCGCATCCAGCGCATCGAGGCCGAGAAGCTCGCGCAGCAGGAGGAGGAGAGGTGCGTGTGCGCGTGTGTGTCCGTGCTGGTTGCGCGTGCGCGTGTGCGTGTTTGCCCGTGCGGTGGCGGACAGTGCTGCTGCGGGAGGCCCTGCGCGCCTTCGGTGCCGTTCCTGAGGGGCGTGGCGCGCGTCGTGCGTTTGTTCGTTTCGCGCAGGCGGCAGCGGGAGATCCGGCGGCGCGTGCAGCCGCGGACGGCGGAGGACTTCAGTTTGCTGCAGTCGGAGCTGGAGGCGTGGCGGATGCACCAGACGCGGCACATCAAGCACGCGGACCTGGAGCACGAGGAGCAGCACGAGCAGCTCGAGCGCGTGCTGTACAAGGAGACGAAGCTGCTGCAGACGGTCGACCGCCTGCGCCTGGTGGCCGCCGAGGTGAACCGCGAGCGCCGCGTGGACCACGCGCTGCGCACCATGGCCGCCCCGAAGCGCTGGCAGGCGCAGAACGGCGACAACGTGGAGGTGCACACGCCCTTCACGATCCGCGCGCGCGAGCTGATGCACCTGTACCAGGGGCTCAACCTGCCCGGGGTGTCGACGGAGGAGCGCCTCGACGTGCTCCTGCACGTCAAGTACACGGTCAAGGAGTTCGACTGCGGCCTCACGCGCGAGATCTCCGACCTCATCGACCGCGAGGCCGACCTGCTCAACCGCGGGCGCTCCGTGCCCGCGCTCGAGGGCCTGCGCCGCCGCATCACGTCGCTCTTCCTCGCCTTCGTGGAGACGCCCGAGTTCAACCCGGAGGCGTCGCAGTTCGAGGTCGCGGCGCACGTGGGGTCGTACATGACCCGCGCGGGGAAGCTGCGCGACAAGGGCACGCTAGTCAACCGGAAGGACACCATGGCTGGCGCCGCGGGGGTGGGCAGCACGCTCGACGCGCGGAACACCGCCGGGATGGGCGGCACCGGCAGCCCGCAGCAGCGGCGCCCGGACACCATCGCCACGCCGGGGTAGCGCGCGCGGTGGGAGGGGCTGTGACGACGCTGCGACGCGACGCGCGTGCCCGTTACACCCGGCGCCTCGCTCGGTCGGCGGTGCTCGCGTCTCCCCTGTGCGCTCGTGTTGGCTGTGCCTGCTGTGTGAGTGGCGCTGCGGAGGCGGCGTGCGGAGGACGTTGCGTGGCGCGCAGCCCTGCTTCCCGCATGTGCCCGTGTCGCGGGGGTGGCGGCCCGCTCGCTCCGCCGGACGTGTGGCGCGTCCCGGACCGTGGCACGTGTGTGACGCGCCAGCAGCACATGCCGGCGGGAATTCCGCGGAGCAGGACGCAACCTGGCAGCGCCGCGGGGTCGCGCGAACGCCGAGCACGGTGACGTGCTCGCGAGCAAGTTCGAAAGAGCGCTTTATGGCGGCGGTCCCGGGGGCGGGGTGGGGTCGTGAGCGCTGGCTGCCACTGGAGCGCCCGAACCCGCGCCGTTGGTGCGCGCCGCGCGCGTCCGGGGGCAGATCCCGCGGGCATTCGATTTCCGTAGCAGCGAGTTGCGCACGGATCCTCGCAGTCTGACCTCTCGCGGCGGGAGCAGCCGAACGACCTGGTGGCAGCTGGGCAGGCGCGATGAACACTTCGGGGCTGGGCCTCACCCAGCTGCTGGACACGGCCTGGGAGCCTCTCCAGCAGGAGGCCATGAAGAAGTGCATGGCGCTCGTCTACAAGACCCGTATCCGCATCCAGGACTTCTTCAAGGACTTCGACCCCCTCCGCAGGCAAGCCACGGCGCGGCCGACCGCGAGGCGGCGCGAGCGGACGCGCGCCCGCGCACCGCCGAGGTGGCGGCCGTGGGGACCCCGCGGCGCCGGCGGGCGGGCGGGCGGTCCGCAGCGCCGCGTCCGCCGCGCGCAACGTCTGGCAGATATTCCGGCGGGCGGGGGCGACGCGCCCGCCGCGCCCTCGTGCGCCGCGTGCGGCGTCCGCGGCGGGGGGCGTGCGCGACGGCGTCGTCCGGCGCCGCGCGCGCCCGCGCGCGCGGGCGCGGGGGCGCGTGAGCGGGGGCGAGGCTGGGCGCAGCCGGGCCTGCTCGGGCCCCCGCGCCGCGCTGCCCCGCGGCTGCTGCGCGTCCGGACCGCGCGAGAGGCGTCTCGCGTGCGGCGAGACGCGTCACGTCGGAGCGGCGGGTGTCCACGCGCCCCGCTGACGCGGTCCCGGAGCCGCTCTGCTCACATGCCGCTGACGCCCGTGCCCTCGCTCGTGCAGTGGCCTGGTGTCGGAGGCGCAGTTCCTGCGGTCCCTCTCCTCGGCGGGGATCGACCGGCACCTGCCCATGCACCTCTTCCTGGCGCTTCCAGGCCCGTTCCTGAACGAGGAAGGTGAGCAGGGCTGGCACCCGCCCCATGTTGCCGCCCCCGCGCCGGCACGAGCCCGCGACGCCCTGATGCTCACGCCGGCCCTGCTTCTTTGCTCCACAGGCAAGGTGTCGTGGTCGGATTTCTGCGCGCGGGTGAACCTGGTGTTCACGATGCCCGGCCTGGAGGTGCGCCATCAGTGCATGCCCCTCCCGCGGTGCCGCGGGCCCGCTCTGTGCCATCCACGGCCGCGCACGCCGACCTACATCGGTGATCGATGCGCTCCGTCCCCCGTCCGCACCGCGCGAGGCACCGACAGCGCCCGAGGCCGGCGCTTGTGTGCGTTCACCATGTCTTGGCATTGCGCCATCCCCGCCCCGCAGAAGGACCCGCTCGCGGAGGTGCCCCCGGAGCCCGTGGAGCTGCTCGACAAGACGCGCTACCAGAAGTCGTCCAAGTGCGCCCCGCGCCCGCGCCGAACGCTGCTTGACCTGGCGTTGTTGTTGCGCACGCTGGGCCTCGACAGACACAGAACGCCGCGCGCCGCGCCACCCGCCTGCTCGCAGGGAGCTGACGCCTGAGCAGGAGGCGCTCGTAGAGAAGAGCCTGGAGTACGTCAAGAGCAAGGTACGCCACCACCCCGCAGCAGGAGGAGGCGCCGTTGGGCCGCCGCAGCAGGAGACGCTCCTCGGCGCACTGCACGCGTGCTCACAGCTGCGAGACAGCGACGCGCCCGCTCACTGCCGTGTGTCCGCCACCCCCTGCTGCTGCAGTGTGCGAGGCGGGGGGTGCCCGTCAAGCCGTTCTTCGACGACTTCGCACGCAACAAGAACTCGCCCTGCCTCGTCGGACACGTGACCGCGAAGCAGTTCGAGCAGACCCTGAACGTCGCCCTCGGCCTCGACATCGACTCGGTGCGCGCCCCACACCCCCCACGCCACGCGCCGCCCCCGCGGTCCATCACAAGCGCCGCCGCCTCACCCCGCCCCGCCCTGCATGCACGTGCGTTCGCAGGAGAGCATCAACGCGCTCGTCGCCAAGTACGCGAACGAGGACAAGCCGGAGATGATCAACTACTTTGGGTTCTCGTAAGTCCCCGCCCCATGCATCCCGGCACGCATCGGCCCGACCGCCGGCGCGCCTATGCAGCGCCGCTCATTCCGGCGGCGTCGAGACGCGCGTTGGCGGGGATGCGTGCGAACCGCTCGTGTTGGTGCCTGGTGGTGGTGCAGGGCGACTGTCGACCCGTCGGAGCTCACAACGGACCCCGACACGCTGTACGTCTAGAGGAACGGAGCTGTCGTGCCCCGCCCGGTCCGGGAGCAGCTTGCCCAGGGTTGCTCGCGTGTGAGTTGATCATTGCGTCACTGTCACGTGGGACGTGCCTGCAGTCGCATCGCGACCCGCGCTCGGCGGACGCCTCCCCCGTCGCCCGCCGTGTGCGTCTAGCGCTGCCCGGAGACGTTGCACGCCGCGCCGTACTGGGGAGGGGGGAGTTATACTGTCGTGCTGTCATCTGGACGAGCTCCGAGTGACGACCTGCCTGACTTCATTGGACCCCGGAGCCGCAGGACAGGGCACAGGTCGACTGGCTGGCTGTGCGCGCGCGCGTGACACCACGCACCAACGGCACCCAGCGTGTGCTGGCGTTGCATGGGCTTGCAGCACGCGGGTCGCTCTCTCATGGCATCCGCGACGTGCGGCGCCCAGAGCGGCGTCGTGAGTCGACAGGGGATCCGCACACACGGTTGCGTGGGCGCCGCGATTCCTGCGCCCCGCCCCCGCTGCCAGCACCTGCTTGGCAGGGATTTGTTCCGCGACCGCACGCGGTGTGCGCGCCCGTTGCACGTCGTTGCGGCGGGCGAGAGCGGTGCTGTTAGTGAGGGGAAGGCATCGGGGGGGAGAGGGAGGGGGCAGGGGCGGGGCGGAGGGCGCCGGAGGTCGAGCAGTGGCGGGCGCGGCCGAGCGGGTGGGAGGGGGCGCGGTAGGGGGCGTGGGCGCGATGGCGGCAGGAAGAGCCGCGCACCGGACGAGGATGGTGGCCAGGCGGGCACCGCGCGCAGCGAAAAGGCTCGCGGCGGCAGGTGGGAGCTGCAGCGAGCCGTGCGTGGCCTGCTCTTGCAGCCGCACGATTGCGCCTCCCCGCGGCCGCCCGGGGAGGAACAGCCGACCTCGTTCGACAGACGCACGAGGCTGACGTGGATCTTGTCTTCGAAATGGCGTGCAGGGGGGCGAAGCAGGGCCCGCGGGAGCGGCGCGGCGGGCGGGGCGAGCAGCGGAGTGGCGCCGGTCAGCGCGAGGACGCCGTGGAGGCGCGCAGCGAGGTAGTGGAGGACGAAAACGCGGCGGTCGGCGTGGACGACGCGGGCGACATCAGCCGCGAGCTGTCGGAGAACGAGGCGGCGGCGCAGGAGGGCGGGGCGCGTGTGTTGCCCGAGGAGCCGCGCAAGTCGCCCGAGGAGGTCGCGGTCGAGGAGGGGCTGGAGCTGCTGGAGTGGAACCTGGTGTCGCGGCAGGTCGCGTTCTTCGCGCGCACGCCGCTCGCGTTCCTCCGCCTCCTGCGCGGCGGGCTGCCGCTGGGCGGGTCGCTGGCGGAGAGCCGCGCGCTGCTGCGGGAGACGGCGGAGGCGCGCGCGCTGCTCGCGGAGCACAGCCTGTCGCTCCACAAGGTGTACGACATCCTTCCGGCGATCGCGGCGGCGCGGAAGGGCGCGGCGCCGCTGTCCCCGCTGCAGCTCCGCGGCGTGATGTGGACGCTGGCCGCGGCGCAGGAGGTGCTGCGGTGCGTGGGGGCCGCGGAGGACGGCGAGGGGCGGTACCCGTCCGTGCGGAGGATGCTGGCCGCGGTGGGCGTCGGGGAGCCGTCGGGGGCGGTGCGGCGGTTCCTGGAGGAGACGGAGCGCTGCGTCGGGGGGGGGATGTTGAAGAGCGACGCGAGCGAGGGGCTGGCGATCATCCGGGCGGACCGGGCCGCGAACTCGCAGAAGCTGCGCGCCGCCATGGACGCGTGGGCACAGGAGCTGCACCGCCGCGGCGTGTCGGAGCGCGCGCAGGTGAGCTTGAAATGCGCGCAGGGGTGCTGCCCTGGCGGGGCGCGGGAGCACGTCACGGTGCAACGCGACGCCCTCCTCCGTCTACGTGCAGGTGGTGATCCGCCGCGACCGGCTGTGCGTGCCCGTCCGCGCCGGGCGGCAGGGCGACGTGTGCCCTGGGTCGGTGGTGCTGGGGCAGTCGGGGTCGGGCGCGACGCTCTTCGTCGAGCCCGGCGACGTTGTCGACATGAACAACGAAGGTGAGGCGCACGCTCCATGTTTCTGTGCGACCGACCTCCCCGACTCCCCCCCGCTGGACGCGCGACCATGCCGTCCCGGGTCATGCGCCTCGCAGAGACGGAGCTGGAGGCGCTCGAGCGCGAAGAGGAGCACAGGATCCTCACGTACCTGTCCGAGCTGCTCGCGGAGTGCGGCGACGACGCTGCGAAGTACATGGACCTGCTCACCAACTTCGACATCGCATGTACGTGTTGGTCTGCGTGTCCACCGACGACCACCGCGCCGTGGCCCCGACGTGCACGCGCTCCTTGCGCCGGCCTGAGAGCTCACGTCGAACCACCTCCCGTCCGCAGGCGCGCGCGCCAGGCACGCCGCGTGGATCGGGGGCCAGTGTCCAGAGCTGGTCGAGGACGACAGCGGGGAGGGACGGCCAGCGGTGCACGTTCCCGCTGTGTACCACCCCCTGCTGCTCGAGCCGGCACTCGACGCACTCCCACAGGCCCCGCCGCAGCTCATCATGGTGCGAGCCGTGCCTCGACCCGCGGTGGAAGCACTGCTCTGCTCGGATGCCTCTCTTGTGTGCGCGCAGACTCAACACGTGACCGCCTCGCGCGACCCCGTCGCGACGTGCAGGACTTCAACACGGACTTCCTAGGGCAGGGCGGCCTCGACCAGGACGTGGACGTGGCCAGGCCCGACCCCGCTGCGGGAGCCGCTGGCGGAGGCCACGTCCGCGACCCGAGCAAGATGCCGCGGCCCGTCGCGCTGACCGTGCCTGCCGGAACCAAGGTCGTCGCGGTCACGGGCCCGAACACCGGCGGCAAGACGGCCGCGCTGAAGACCCTCGGCGTGTGCGCCCTCATGGCCAAGGCGGGCCTGTTCCTGCCCACGGATGCGAGCAGCGGGGACGGCGAGCCGCCGCGCATCGCGTGGTTCGACCGCGTGCTGGTCGACATCGGCGACAGCCAGTCGCTGCAGCAGTCCCTGTCGACGTTCTCGGGGCACGTGAAACGGTGCGCACCCATATTGATCGCCCTCTGAGCAACATCCACGACGCAATCGGTCTCGTGCTGTCCGACCTGACCGCGCAAGACTATCGATGTGGCTGCATGCAGGCTCGCCCGCGTGCTCGCCCACGTCACGGACAGCTCGCTGGCCCTCCTGGACGAGGTGGGCAGCGGCACCGACCCCGTGGAGGGCTCCGCGCTGGCCGCGTCCGTCCTGGAGGCCCTGAGGGACCGCGCCGCGCTGACGGTCGCGACGACGCACCACGCGGAGATCAAGGACCTCGCGACGACCGAGCCGGAGTTCGTCAACGCGTCGGTGGAGTTCGACGTGGAGACGCTGCGCCCCACCTACCGCATGATGTGGGGCGAGACAGGTGCGCCGCGGCTGCGCGCGACGGCGAGCCCCGTGATCGGTGCCCTTGTGGTGGCGCGTTGACCGGTGTGTTTGGCGACGTTCGGTGCCGCGCAGGTGCGTCGAACGCGCTCAACATTGCCAAGACGCTGGGCTTCGACTCCACGGTGATCGCCGAGGCGCGCGAGCTCGTGGACAACCCCGCGTCGCTGCTGCACGACGACAGGCGCAACCAGGCTGGCATGGAGCAGTCGCTGAAGGAGCAGCTCGAGTCGGGAGAGGCCGAGCGGCAGGCGCTGCAGGCGGCGGTGGCCACCCTGGACGGCGACATCGCGCGCCTGCGGTCGGAGGAGGCGGCCGCGCAGCAGCGGCTGGAGACGAGCCAGAACCAGGCGTCGCAGCTGCAGTCGAGCATGGACGAGGACCGCGGCGAGCTGCAGGTGCGCGCGCAGCACAGCGCCTCGCTGCACAACAACACGCGGTGCACCACGCGCGCACGTGCTCACTCGCCTGCGCCGTGCTGACTGCAGTGGATCGTCGATGCGGTGCGGGAGGGCGAGCTGTCCCTGGAGGACGCGGAGGTCGCCATCTCGGAGCTGCAGGCGCGGTGGGCCGCCGAGGCTGGCGGGGGGGAGTCGGAGCTGGAGGATGTGGCGGACGACGAGGACGCGTGGGCGCCGACCGTGGGCATGAAGGTGTCGCTGGTCAACATGGGCGGGTCGATCGGCGAGGTGCTGTCGCGCGACGGCGGCGGGACGTACACGGTGCGCGCGGGCATGATGGTCGTGGAGGCGCGCGTGGCGGACATGGCGCCGCTGGACGGCCTGGGGGACCTGCAGCCGCGCAAGGTCAAGGCCTCGAAGATGAAGCGGTACGGGGGCTCGGGGTCCTCGTCGGCGGGCGGGGGAAAGAGCACCGGGGGGGGTGGGCTCATGATGCAGGTGCGGAGCACGCTGGGCTTCATCCGTGCTGGCGTGCTGCCTTGACTGCGCTGGCGACGCGGGCGGCGACCTTGTCCTGTCCGGCCGCCCTCTGTTGCGCAGACGTCACAGAACACGCTGGACCTGCGCGGGAAGCGTGTCGCGGAGGCGCTGGACGAGCTCGACCTGGCGCTCGGGCGCGGACGGCAGAGCGGCGCGGCGCTGTACGTCATCCACGGGCACGGCTCGGGCGCGGTGAAGAAGGCGGTGCAGGAGGCCCTGAAGAAGCACCGCGCTGTGGAGCGCACAGAGGCCGACCCGCAGTCGGCGGGCGGGTGCACCGTCGCGATATTCCGGTGACGATGACGTGGCCGTGCTGTGCCACCGGAGCAGGGCGCCGACGTCGTTCGTCTCGTTCACCGCTGTTGTGAGGCGACGCTCCTGGTTCTTCCTGCGACGACCACGCTGTGTGAGAATGTGTCGGTGGACGACGCTGACGGGCTCAACAGCTCGTCGGGACGTGTGGTCCTGCGGTGCGGCGTCGCGTCTTTATGTTCGTGGACGCCCGTGCGAGCTCAGGCTCGTGACCAAGATGGACGTGGCTGGGCGCGTGTGGCCCGGGCAGCACCAGTTCGACGGCGACGTGCGCCTACAGGTCACTCTGCAGCACCCACGCGAGCTCCGTCCAGGCATCCCCGCCGTCCGCGGCACAGCAAGATGCCCTGCTGCTACAACCACAGCCGAGTCGGCGCAGCAAGGGCAGGTCGCACACGACATGCGCCACGCGCTCGACGCGCGCTCAAACCAGGCGCGGACGCCCGCCGACGTCGGCACCCGTTGGCGCGCCCGACTCGGTCCTCACACCACCTTGTCCCCCCCCCCCGGGCATCTGGGACGCGCAACGGCTGCATGCGCGACGCAGAGCACGCGGTGTGCCACTTGACGCAGTCTCGTCGCGATGGTCGAAAGTGACAGGCGTCGTGACCCGGGAGCAGCGTGTTCTGGACGGGTGCGCAGCCCACATTGCAGTCGGCTTGCCTGGCACGTGGCCCATCCCCGGCGCGAGGACGGCGTTTCACACGGAAGTTTGGTGCTGCACGATCGTCCACAGCGCTCGCTGAAGCGCTTTCGTCCCACCCGTGCCGCGCAGAGCCAGGGTGGTTGATCCCGCCCTGGGACCCCTCGAGCCGTCGTGCGTGACTTGAGAGCCGGACGCCGAAGGCGCACGTGAATCATCATACAGAACTGTGTAGCCGGTGACTCGATCCGCGAGGCACGCGAGCTCGGGTTCTACAGGGCCGGGGTGGGCTTGCGCGTTGCCGCAGCAGCGGCTTTCAGCGAGGGTGTGCGACGCGTCGGCGAGGCGGGACGATGAGCGCGCGCAGCACGGTATGGGTCACCCTCTCAGATTGCAGCCGTGGTCGCGTCAGCGCGTTTGCTGCCGTGCTCGCGGCCGTTGGAGGGGGCTGCACGAGTGCCAGTCGCTGGCCATGCAAGCGCAGGGGCTCTGCGTTTTCTGTGCACCGGCGTGACGGCAACCTTTTCTTCTTCGTGCAGAGGCTCCGCCGCGGGAACGAGCTGCTTGACAGCGTCTTGCAAGAGGTGCCCTCCATCCTCGACCTGCTCGCAGACGCCGACAAGGCCAGCCTGGCGGCGACGCGATGGAGCGTGCTCGAGGCGGTGCTGCGCGGGTGCCGGGCGGTGCTGACGGTCCACCCGGACGACCCCGTGCTGCACGTCCTGGCGCGACGGATGCCCGACGCGCCGTGTCGAGGGGAGCTGACGCTGTGTGGGGTCAGGGTGCCTGCGGCGGACGCGGAGCTGCTGCTGCAGGCGACACAAACGATGCTGGAGGATCTGCCTGACGTTGAAGACGATCGGGGCGCGTGGGTTCGCAAGTGGATCAGCCTTGTGTGGGCGCTGCAGGCGGACGAGGGGGCGCGCGTGACGGGGCTGGACGTGCCCGACGCGCGCGCATCGCCTAACTGGATGATGGAGGCGCTGTCGATACAGCAGATCCTGTCGTCGCGTGCGGTGCGGGAGCACCTGCGCAGGCTGAAGGCCTGGTGTGGGTTTGGCGATCGGTCCGTCGAGCAGCTCGCCCCGTCGTTCCTGCGTGCAATCCACGGACTGTCGGTTCTGCAACATCTGGACCTCGAGTTCGGATGTTCACAAAACGGGGAACTGGGTCGGTCGGCCGCCAGCTTCGTCCAAAAATGCAGCGCCTTGACGACTCTTCGGCTCAGTGGTACGATTTTCGACCGCGACGGGACACGGGCCCTCCTGGACGCCCTAGAGCGAGCCACGCACCTGCGGCACCTGACGCTGTACGAGGTAGGGCTTCACCAGGACCACTGTCTCAAGCGCGCACCGCCTGCTGGGCTGGTGGCGGTCGAGATCGACGGCGGGGATCACCCGTACCGCTGGCAGGAGGCGATGAATATCCACGCCCTCTCGCTGCATGATGCTATTCATCCGCGGGAGGCGGAGTCGAGGGCCGGCTGGGAGCAAGTGGCGGGCCTGCTGCAGCGGAGCAAGGCGCTGCGAGTGCTGCGGCTCTTCTGCCGCGCCGGCAGGACGAGCTCCGAGCTGTGCGTGCTGATGTCGGCGCTAGAGCGGAGCACGTTAGAGGTCTTCGAGTGCGAGTTTGGCGTCGCAAGCTGCGATCCTGATGAGGATGAGGATGAGGATGAGGAGATCCCCGAAACAACCGATCAGGCAGTGTCGCAGGCGCTGGCGGCAGCGCTCAGAAACGAAGCATCGACGCTGCGAGAGCTATCCCTGAGGCTCGGCGAGGACAGCGAGCTTGGTTCGTACTTACACGTGCCCACACTGGCGTCAGCACTGCAGGAGAACACCGCGCTGCGCGTGCTGCGTATCGAGGACGCCAAGATCGACGACGCTGCTGTCAGCGCCATCGGCAACGCTCTCACACGCAACAAGACGCTGCTCGAGCTCAACCTGGGTGGGGCTGATGTTTCGGCGACGTCGCACGGCATGGCCGAAATCTCGCACGGGCTTCGCTACAACCGATCATTGCGGGCCTTGCGCATGAGCTGCGCCTTTGACGATCACGACAGGTGCTTGAAGGCGCTGGCAGCTGCGTTCCGGCCCAGGCCGCCTGCACCCAGGGACCATTTTTGGGATCGGCCGCGAGCCCGTCTGCACACCCTCGACATCTCGGGCTTGATCGTCGGTGACGAAGGCGCCAAGCACATCGCGGAAGTCCTGAAGTACACTGCGTGTGGTCCGCTCAGGAGACTCCTCGTCGATTGCAGCGCCGTGAGCACAAGCGGGCTGGCAGTTGTTGCAAAGGCGCTCGAAGGGCATCGCTCCCTCGTTTCACTTGACCTTTTGGACCGTGGTAAATTCAATCATCGAGACAGGGAGCTGATCGCGGAGTCGGTGGCGAAGAACACCACGCTTCGGCGCCTGCAGCTGCATGACAACCGATGGCCGGCGCGTACACGTAGCGTCGCGCCGCTGCTGGCCCGGCAATTGCTTCATGCACAAAAGTACGCGATCGCAAAGCGCGAAGCCGGCTCTGCTCGGGCAACTGTTCACACAGCCCCGCACAGATGAGATAGCAATCCGATCCACAGCACAAAAGCCTGCGGGTTTCGGCCCAAGGGCATCCTGCACATGTGAACCGATCCCGCTCGATCCACGGCCACTCAGTCGGCACGGTGCGCGGTAGTCGGGGGTGTCGCCACATTTCGTGCGTCGTCTCATCCGACGCGCAATCAAACGCTCCCGCCGGTCCATCACGCCGTGTTCGTGTAATACATGCCACCATGTGCGTCTGTAGCACAGTGCATGTGACCCGCACTCGCCACGGCCCGCCTGTGGGTGGCGCCAGCGATGCTTGTTGCAACGGATCGACGTGGTGAGTACCTGTGGGCCCCGTAGGACTCGCGCGCTCGAGCGTCGCTGCAGGATCCGGCGCTACCGGCTGATGCGGCGCCGCAGAGGTCTCCGGCGCCCGCCCCAGCGCTCGACGCGATATGTCAGCCGACTGCGCTGAGGTCCCCCACGGTGGGGTGTCCAACTGGCCCATCCCCCGTTTTCCGGGAAGCGCACAATGCTGCGCGGGTCACTCTGACGCGCCCACGTCCCAGTCATGGGCATAATGAAGGCGTCTGGGCGCCCGCACCTGTGGGTCGCCGCCACATGCCGCCACGGGCAGCTTTGGAAGGCTCTAGGCCTCGCTGTGTGCTGCGACCCGCAAACGCGCGTGGCGGAACGCATCACAAGAAGCAATATCTATCACGATAGGCGCGGGATTTCGCGCGGCAAGCGTCCACCGCGCCCCTGAGGAGCTGCGCGACCACGCTGGCATAGGTGGGGCTGCTGCATCGGCAGAGCCGCGCCGTGAGCCATTTCCGGGCGGAAATGGCTACGCAGTTAGACTTCTTTGCGCGCCTGCAGCAGGCTGGCGTGCGGACCCAAGGGATAGAGCGCACGGAGGTGACCAGGTCACTAGCGATGTAATCGCTTGCCCTTGGACGAGCCCTGAGGCGCTCACTCGCACATTCCATCGCTTCATGACAACGATATGAATTTATTAAGGACAAGCCGCTGTAGACACGCACCTCCGTTGCGCATGTTGTGGACCGAGAGGCCATTTAGCCCCACTGACATGCTTCGGGCGGCCGCGATGACCCTGGCTCGGCGGCGCTGCGACCCGACGCGCGCGCACACACGTACTCACATCGCGCGCCGTCGGCTGCTACACTCCGACCGGCAGGTAGGGCTCGTGGTCTCCCATCGTGTCCTCATCATCGTACTCATCTTCACCCTCGCCGTGGAGCGCGTGAAGCCGCCGCCACATGCGCAGCTGCTGCTCAGGCGTGGGCTCCACATCATCGTCGTCCTGCTGACGCTGCTTCTTTTGCCTCCGCCGCTCCTCCGCCTCGGCAACAACCGCTGCAGCTTGATTGTCGTACCTCTGCTGCAACCCCGCGGCCTGGCTGCTGACGGGGCTGTGCTGCGAGAACTCGATGCGCGGTGGCGCTGCCGGCGTCCACGTCGGGACCGGAGCGCTGGCCGAGGCGTCGTCCGACGTGTTCGCGGCGTTCTCTCCAGGGATGATCTCATACTGCAGCAGCCGCTCCGCGTCCTCGACCAGGTTGGCCCTGTGGATCCGCCGGACACGCACAATAATCTCCCCCCGCCTCAGCCTGTCCACCGTGTGCGGGATCTCCCGGCAGAGCAGGTCCCAGCAGTTGCGCATCATCTCTGCCTTGTTCTTGCCCACGGTGCGGCTCACGCCGCAGTCGCGGAACCACTCGAATATCTCCCTCAGGTGCGCCACCGTCACCTGCTTCTTGGCGTGGGCGTCGGCCGCCGGCGCGTAGAAGCCGTCCTCGTCCGTTCCTTCCCGAGCACCCTCGAGGTGTATGTGCCGCAGGACGTCGTAGAGGTCGACCTCCTTGTCCTCGAACACGCGCGTCGCTTCGTGGTGCGCCACCGCGGCCGCGGTGGCCGCCGCTTCCTTCGCGGCGGCGACGTAGGCCTTCTTGCGGCTGGGTTGCTCCCGCGCCCACTTCTTTGCAGCTGCTCGGACCGCTGGGAGCAGCTCGCCGCGCTCGCCGCGGAACAGGAACTCGCGCGGCTGCTGCAGACACACGCGTGCTGCCAGGTGCTTCGGCCCCGCCTGCTTCCGGCCCCGGCGCGTGCAGCCGAAGAGCCCGAACATGCTCTCGACGCAAGCGTTGTCAGGCGGCGCGAGGTTGTGCGTGGAGGCACGCGCGTCGACGACGTGGCCGTCGTGCTTGTACATGAAGCGACGGAGGACCTCGGCGCTCTTCCTCACGGCGCTCACGAGCAGGCAGTGCACGGCTTGGTGCCACGCGCTGTCGTCGCCAAGTTCGAACCCAGGTAGATCCTTGTACGCGAGCCACGCGGTGCGCAGGTAGATGTTCACGCGCTTGTTCTCGTCGTTCTCGTCCTTGCTCAGCCGACAGCCCACCCAGCCGGCCTCCGACGGCGAATCCGACAGCGACCACGGCGCTTTCAGGTCCTTGTGTTCATCATCTTGCAGGCGCTTGAATGTGTCCGCCGCGTCCTGCACCGTGAAGTTCTCCGCCACCGCGAGGTACTTCTTGCCGTGCTTCACCATGTCCTCGTACGACTTCTTGTTCGCGCACCCTTTCGCGCCCCAGTACGAGCCGGCAAACACTTCATACAACACCACGCCGGCGATCATCTCAGCCGTGTACGCTGGCTGCTCCAGAGCGTTCACGACCTTCGCGAGGCGATGATGGTACTTCTTGTCGGTCGTGCGCAGCGGTCCGTTGATCCTGCGCTCCTCAGCGCGGATCAAGTGCCTCCACATCAAAAGCTTTCCGAGGTTGTCCTGGCCAGCGAGGTACCTGCGCGCGCGAAATCGTGCTCCAACGGTGAGGGATGGCCAGCGGCGGCTGTGCGTGGCGCGTGCACCGCGGCGCCGACCGGCGCGCACCTGGCCACGCCGTACTGCCCCATCATGAACTTCCCGCTCCCCAGCGCCTTCGCGTCGGGGTCGCCGGCCTCCTTGAGCGCGTCTTCGGCGATCGCCGCGGAGCGTTGCAGGCTCTGTCGCAGGAAACCGAATTTGGCCTCCGCGGAGAACATCATCTCGCACTCCAAACCCAGCTGATGACTTCCGACCCACTCCATCTTGCGACCGTCGACGCCCTTCGCGTACATGACGTCGGGGCGAGGTAGATCTTTCAGGCCGTCCGTCCGCGCCATGACATCCCACGCCTCCTTGAATGCGGCCGCGGTTTTCTTGAAAGCATTGTCAATCTTGTGGTCCCAACACCCGAGCCGCTGCGCCACGTAATCCTCCCCGACCAGGTTCTTCATGGCCTTCTCGAACGCCATGACGTCCGAGGCGTGGTCCGACACCTGATAGTGCAGCGTCGAGACGATGGCGCGCATTGCAAGGTCCAGGAACTCATTGCACAGACGGTCGTCCGCCCGCAGGCGGTCCTCGTGCGCCTCTGGGGTCTCGTCGATCCCCCGGGCGAACATCTCCTCGTCCTGGAGGTCGAACATGCGCAGCAGCTTCGACGGCCCGAGCGCGAAGTACGCGGGCGTGCGCCACGCCCACGTCAGCGGGAGCGTAATGTTGCGCGCTGTGGTGTCTGCGGCGGTCGCCGCGGTGCCGTCGGCGACGTGCTGGACCGGCATGTACACATACTCCACGGCGCGCTTGCCGTCGCGCCCGAGGTAGTTCCACGTGTAGCACTGGCCGTGCAACTTCAGTCCACCTTTTGAGGAACCGTCGAGGTGGAGCGCGAGCTTGCCGGGGCCCTCGCGGCCCAGAGCGAGGTCCGCCAGCGTTGCGACAGCCATGGGTCTGTGGTCTTAATTTATTAGAGGTGGGTTGTATGGGTTACACACCACTTTGGCGCGCGATTGCGGCGCGCTCGCGGCTCGCACGGCCGCCGCGGGCGCGGCATGCGCGCACCCGAGGTGATTTACGTGATCTCCAGGCGCGCCGCGTCCACCGACGGTCATGTCGCGGAGCTACGACGCGAAGAGTGCAAAAGTTGATGGGTTACACGTGGGTTTCACACAGTTTGGCGGGCCGTGGCGCCGCCGTTGAGCGTGTCGGTGGAGTTTCCGCGGCACGACAAATATGCTGACACTTGCGACTACCACCTGCGAGCGCGACAACGACGCCGACTGCAGATGTCGCGGCGATATCGCGGCTGAAATGGGTCTGATGACACTTTATATTTTATATACGGCAGCCCAGGGCGGCTTGCACCCTGCAATCTCCGGCGTCGGACGCCCACGGGGCACGCGCAGGTAGCGCGCGTAGCAGCGAGCACGCCTCGGCTGCTGCCTGGGGTCCAGCGGCAACAGTTGACCAGCTGAAACACAACAGCCTACCGGAACGACCTTAGCGACCCAGCGGAAGGCACGCCTTAGCGACGAATGATTAGGACTTAGACCTTAGGCATTAGCGGCCAACCATGGAAGCGCAACCAGCTGCCGCTGGGTGCCAGTCGTGCATGCTAGTTGCCTGTGCTGTACATACCGTTTTCGACGCTCCGGGCGGGCCGTGACCCCCTGCTTTGCACGCTGCGCGATACTCCGCATGCAGATGACGTGTCGCGAGCCCGCCGCGCGCCGGACGGGCGCTCGAACTGGCCGCCAGCGCGGTTGTTGTGTGTTGTTAAGGTGTGTCTCATCCGCGCTCCGCGCGGCGCTGTGCCGGAATTCGTGCCACGTGGCTCGTGCGCCGCGTTGTCCTGCGTGTCGTGGACGCGCCGCAACGCCTGCTGAGCCGTTTGGCGACATGTGCAAATGCACTCCCTCTATTATTTATGAGAGGTGGGTTGTATGGGTTACACACCACTTTGGCGCGCGATTGCGGCGCGCTCGCGGCTCGCACGGTCTTAATTTATTAGAGGTGGGTCTTAGGGTCTGTGGTCTTATTTATTAGAGGTGGGTTGTATGGGTTACACACCACTTTGGCGCGCGATTGCGGCGCGCTCGCGGCTCGCACGGCCGCCGCGGGCGCGGCATGCGCGCACCCGAGGTGATTTACGTGATCTCCAGGCGCGCCGCGTCCACCGACGGTCATGTCGCGGAGCTACGACGCGAAGAGTGCAAAAGTTGATGGGTTACACGTGGGTTTCACTGATTTTTAGAGAATGCCCCCAATGCCCCCAAGGGGTACTTTTCGGCCGCTGGCGGTCCGGTGTCCGCGACCCCGGGGCGGATTGTGTTAGCGCTGTCGGCGTTCGACACCGGGACGTCCCACGAGGTGCGCGGCGGCACGCAGCGCGACCGGGCCGCGGAGCTACGGGCCGCCAAAGTAGCGGGGCTTGTCATCAGGGGGTGGATTTCGGGCTCTGGCGTCGCGGTGCGGGCGTTGGTGGTGCTGAATCGCGTGCCCTATTGGTGGAATACGCCGCCACGCCCGCCGCGGCAGCGAACGCGAGCAGCGCACGCGACACGGCGACGGTAGAGCGGAAAAGTGCGTGTGACATCGGCCGTCAGATACCAACTTGGGTGACTCGGCAGTCACGAAACAGAGTCTAGTCGTGACTCGGCCAGATATATATCTGATCAAATATGCCTCGTGACTCGGAAGATACCCGTCAAATAGGCATATCTGCGCCTATTTGTCGGTGCACGCTTTCAAATATAGACCACGGCGGGCGCGAGACGGACCGGGTCGCGATGGTGACCGTGTGCGGTGACCGGGGGTCAGACCACAGGTCGGTGCGCCACCACGGCAACCCAGGGTCGGCTGCGGGGTGACGTCGTGCTGATGTCAGTCATCGAGCCGGAACAGCAGGAGCAGCAGTAGACCTGCCGGAACGACCTTAGCGACTAACAATTAGGACTAATAACGTTAGGGTTTAGCGACGTACCACGGAAGCGGGACCAGCTGTCCGGCGCGGGTGTCGCGTGTGCTGTGTTGTGCACATGTTGTCGTCTCTTGCGGGCGTTGCTGGGTCCGCTGCAGCCCGCAGCACCTGCCGTGCGTCGTGACGCGCCGCGGAGTGCCGCTCGGCGCGCACGGCGGACCCTCCGACCGGCTGCCAGCGCGGCTGTCGTGTGTTGTTGTGCTCCCTGTGTTGGCCGCGCTGCGCGCGGCGCTGCACCGCTTTTCGAGCCGCTCGACGCTTGCGCTGCGTACTGGTGCGTGCTGTGGGCGCGCTGCAACGCTCGGCGGGCCGATTGGCGACGTTGTGTCCTCCTTATGATTTTTAGAGAATGCCCCCAATGCCCCCAAGGGGTACTTTTCGGCCGCTGGCGGTCCGGTGTCCGCGACCCCGGGGCGGATTGTGTTAGCGCTGTCGGCGTCCGACACCGGGACGTCCCACGAGGTGCGCGGCGGCACGCAGCGCGACCGGGCCGCGGAGCTACGGGCCGCCAAAGTGGCGGGGCTTGTCATCAGGGGGTGGATTTCGGGCTCTGGCGTCGCGGTGCGGGCGTCGGTGGTGCTGAATCGCGTGCCCTATTGGTGGAATACGCCGCCACGCCCGCCGCGGCAGCGAACGCGAGCAGCGCACGCGACACGGCGACGGTAGAGCGGAAAAGTGCGTGTGACATCGGCCGTCAGATACCAACTTGGGTGACTCGGCAGTCACGAAACAGAGTCTAGTCGTGACTCGGCCAGATATATATCTGATCAAATATGCCTCGTGACTCGGAAGATACCCGTCAAATAGGCATATCTGCGCCTATTTGTCGGTGCACGCTTTCAAATATAGACCACGGCGGGCGCGAGACGGACCGGGTCGCGATGGTGACCGTGTGCGGTGACCGGGGGTCAGACCACAGGTCGGTGCGTCACCACGGCAACCCAGGGTCGGCTGCGGGGTGACGTCGTGCAGATGTCAGTCATCGAGCCGGAACAGCAGGAGCAGCAGTAGACCTGCCGGAACGACCTTAGCGACTAACAATTAGGACTAATAACGTTAGGTTTTAGCGACGTACCACGGAAGCGGGACCAGCTGTCCGGCGCGGGTGTCGCGTGTGCTGTGTTGTGCACATGTTGTCGTCTCTTGCGGGCGTTGCTGGGTCCGCTGCAGCCCGCAGCACCTGCCGTGCGTCGTGACGCGCCGCGGAGTGCCGCTCGGCGCGCACGGCGGACCCTCCGACCGGCTGCCAGCGCGGCTGTCGTGTGTTGTTGTGCTCCCTGTGTTGGCCGCGCTGCGCGCGGCGCTGCACCGCTTTTCGAGCCGCTCGACGCTTGCGCTGCGTACTGGTGCGTGCTGTGGGCGCGCTGCAACGCTCGGCGGGCCGATTGGCGACGTTGTGTCCTCCTTATGATTTTTAGAGAATGCCCCCAATGCCCCCAAGGGGTACTTTTCGGCCGCTGGCGGTCCGGTGTCCGCGACCCCGGGGCGGATTGTGTTAGCGCTGTCGGCGTTCGACACCGGGACGTCCCACGAGGTGCGCGGCGGCACGCAGCGCGACCGGGCCGCGGAGCTACGGGCCGCCAAAGTGGCGGGGCTTGTCATCAGGGGGTGGATTTCGGGCTCTGGCGTCGCGGTGCGGGCGTTGGTGGTGCTGAATCGCGTGCCCTATTGGTGGAATACGCCGCCACGCCCGCCGCGGCAGCGAACGCGAGCAGCGCACGCGACACGGCGACGGTAGAGCGGAAAAGTGCGTGTGACATCGGCCGTCAGATACCAACTTGGGTGACTCGGCAGTCACGAAACAGAGTCTAGTCGTGACTCGGCCAGATATATATCTGATCAAATATGCCTCGTGACTCGGAAGATACCCGTCAAATAGGCATATCTGCGCCTATTTGTCGGTGCACGCTTTCAAATATAGACCACGGCGGGCGCGAGACGGACCGGGTCGCGATGGTGACCGTGTGCGGTGACCGGGGGTCAGACCACAGGTCGGTGCGTCACCACGGCAACCCAGGGTCGGCTGCGGGGTGACGTCGTGCAGATGTCAGTCATCGAGCCGGAACAGCAGGAGCAGCAGTAGACCTGCCGGAACGACCTTAGCGACTAACAATTAGGACTAATAACGTTAGGTTTTAGCGACGTACCACGGAAGCGGGACCAGCTGTCCGGCGCGGGTGTCGCGTGTGCTGTGTTGTGCACATGTTGTCGTCTCTTGCGGGCGTTGCTGGGTCCGCTGCAGCCCGCAGCACCTGCCGTGCGTCGTGACGCGCCGCGGAGTGCCGCTCGGCGCGCACGGCGGACCCTCCGACCGGCTGCCAGCGCGGCTGTCGTGTGTTGTTGTGCTCCCTGTGTTGGCCGCGCTGCGCGCGGCGCTGCACCGCTTTTCGAGCCGCTCGACGCTTGCGCTGCGTACTGGTGCGTGCTGTGGGCGCGCTGCAACGCTCGGCGGGCCGATTGGCGACGTTGTGTCCTCCTTATGATTTTTAGAGAATGCCCCCAATGCCCCCAAGGGGTACTTTTCGGCCGCTGGCGGTCCGGTGTCCGCGACCCCGGGGCGGATTGTGTTAGCGCTGTCGGCGTCCGACACCGGGACGTCCCACGAGGTGCGCGGCGGCACGCAGCGCGACCGGGCCGCGGAGCTACGGGCCGCCAAAGTGGCGGGGCTTGTCATCAGGGGGTGGATTTCGGGCTCTGGCGTCGCGGTGCGGGCGTTGGTGGTGCTGAATCGCGTGCCCTATTGGTGGAATACGCCGCCACGCCCGCCGCGGCAGCGAACGCGAGCAGCGCACGCGACACGGCGACGGTAGAGCGGAAAAGTGCGTGTGACATCGGCCGTCAGATACCAACTTGGGTGACTCGGCAGTCACGAAACAGAGTCTAGTCGTGACTCGGCCAGATATATATCTGATCAAATATGCCTCGTGACTCGGAAGATACCCGTCAAATAGGCATATCTGCGCCTAT